TGAGTCCCTATCTCCTTAGCTCTGAAAGGCAATAAGAGGCTCAGTTCTGCCCTTTGAAAGGTTTTAAGGTTAGTTCTTCAGCCTCTTGCCCATCACATCTTCAAAGTGTTGCATTATTAATTACTTTACATAATGATAAAAAGGTCAATTAAATGGTAAGTCAGAATCATACTAACTTGTATGTACATAATAACCCAGTTTCAAAATACATAAAGCAAAAGTTGACAGAACTAAAAGTAGAATAAGATAAATTCACAATCATACTTGGGGATTTCAACACTTCTTTTTTAGTAACTAGTAGATAAGATGCACAACATTTATTAAGGACCTAGAAGATTTGAAAAACACAATTAACCAATCTTGCCTAATTGACATAAAAATGTAGAGCATTATACCAAACAACTAATGGCAGAACATACTTGAAACATTTATCAGCACAGCTGGTATTAAGGAGCATAAGGTAAACCTTAATATAACATATATATTATATCAAAAGTCAAAATAACACAGAGAATATCCTCTGATAACAGTGTAATTAAATTAGAATCAATGGCAGAGCAATATATAGAAAATCTTTAGATGTTTTGATACTAATAAATTCTTTCAAAATGCATAGTCAAAAATAAATTACAAGGGAAATGGAAACGTCTTGCTAATGAAATACAACATATGAAAACTTGTGGGACACAGCTAAAGCAGTATTCATAGAGAACATTATAGCTCTGAATGCCTATATTAGAAAAAAAGAAAAGGTGAAAATCAGCATCTTGAGATGTTGAGAAAAAAGTAAAATTAGGCCCAAAGGAAGTAAAGGAAGGAAATAAAGATAAGAACAGAAATGAATGAGCTAGAAGGCAAATATATGGTGGAGAAAAATCAACAAAGCCCAAAGTTAGTTTTTCTTTTGAAAAGTTAATAAACCTTTAAGGCAGGCTGTTTTAAAAAGGGATAAAAGCACAAACTATGAAATTATAAGTGAAAAAAAGGTCACCACTATACACCCTAGATACATAAAAAGTTAAGGAGATATATAAACAACTTCATGCTACTAAGTTTGAAAACTTAGATGAAATGAACAAATCTCTTGAAAAAATACACAACTAAAAAACAGCTTATGAAAACAGATGTTAGAAGTAATAAAAGCTGAAATAGTCCTATGTCTATTAAGTAAAATAAATTTATAATTAAAGTTATTCTAATAAAAAAATTTCAGGTCTTGCTGCTTCACTGTAAATTCTTCCAAGTATCTAAGTAATAAATAATAGTGATCTTATGCAAAACTGTTTAAGAGAAAAGGAAAAAACATTACTCAATTATTTTAAAGAGCCATCATAAAAATGACACCAAAATGTGAATGAAACATTACAAGAAAGAAAAACAACACTATAATATCTTCCATGAATTTATATATAAATATCATAAACAAAATATTAGCAAACTGAACTTGGTAATTTAAAAAAATGCATTATGACCCAAGTATGCATTTTTTCCAAGTTTGCTAGGTTAGTTTAACAACTTTAACAGCAAAAAATAATCAGTGAAATCCACATCAGTAAAATTAAAAAAAATTGCATAATCATTTCAAGAGGTTCAGAAAAATGGCATGATATTATGTAATAGCTAGTCATGATAATAACTTTCAGCAGCGTAGGGATATATAAAAACTTCTTTAAGGAAACAATAAAAAGTATGTACAAAACAATATAGGTAGCACCACACTTAATGGTCACATATTGAACACTTTTACCCTCAGGTCAGAAACAATGATGTCCAATATCACCAATTGTACCTGGCATTTTATAAAAGGTCTTGGTGCATTTAGGCAAGAACAACAAAAATATATATAATGACTAGAAAGGAAAATGTCAAGTTATCATTATATGTTGATGATACAATTACGTATATACAGGTAGAAAATCTCAAGAAATATATAAGCAACTCTAATTGATACTAGATGTTAGCAAGTTCGCATGATAAGCAAATATACAAAACAATAATATTTCCATATATTAATATTAGCAATAAAACATTAGAAAATATAACAATAAAAACATCATTTACAGTTGCACGAAGATTCCTAAGATGCCTAGAAATAACTCCAAGTTTTACAAAACCTATATACCAAAACCTACAAAAAGTATTGCTGAGAAAAATGTAAAAGACATAAATAAATGCAGAGATATACCATTTTCATGGATTGGGAAAATATGTATCTTCAAATTGATATAAGAGTTCAATTTAATCCCATCTAATATGTAAGATTTTTATGCAAATTAGAAATCTGATTCTAAAACTTATGTGGCAACAATTTTGAAGAAAAAAACTGAAATTTCTTTTCATTTAAAGGCACCATTGAGAGAATGAGAAGTCAAGCCACCAACTGAGAAATGATATTTGATTTGCAACATCTATATCTGACTAATGATTGATATCCAGAATATGTAAATACCAAATCACTAAGAAAAATACAGATACCCCCACTAAAACACGGGCTTGAATGTCAATTCACAAGAGTTTATCCAAATGACTACAAGCATATGAAAAGGTGTTCCACATTATTAGTTATCATAAAATTTCAAGTTAAAATCATGATGAGATACTGCTGCATACCAACCCAAATGGCTAAAACAAAAACACATGTTTTAGTAAGTATGTGGAATAACTGGAGCTGTTCTATTATTAGCCAGAGTGTAAACTAGCACAGCCCAGTTTTAAAGACTGTTTTCAAGTGTTAATTAAAGACAAACAAATGCACATCTATGGCCTACTAACTCCACTCCCATGTAAATTCTTAATAAAAAACATCTACATATGTTAATCAAAACACATGTACAAAAATATTGATAAAAGTATTATTTATAGGATCCTAAATCTGGAAACAACACAAGTGTCTATCACCAGTAGAATGGATGGATAAATAAATAATACATTCTGATTCAGAAGCCTAGAAGATCTGCCAACTACATAATAGCTCATCTATTGGCACACTGATGCCTTCACTTCTACAAGTAAATTTGCCTTTTTTTTCCTGACTCAAGCTTGGCAGAGGCTTTGCTTTTATTAAAATGCAGTTAACCTAGCACGTTATTTTTTAGAGTGTTCAGGAGTACATTTCATGATATGTGGAGGGTTAAGGGGTTGATGGTGGCATGAGGGTCTGTGTGTTGTGTCAGGGTAGCAGGGGACAAAGTTGGGGCTTATCTGGGAGTGGAAATGCAAAACAAAACAACAAAAACAAAAACCAATCCAGATGACTAAGGAAAGATGAGGGTTGGTATCAAAGACAAACTGCCTGTTTCATAATTTGGCTTCTGGTCTACATTCTAGGAATACTGTACAGCACTGAAATGAAGTTCTACTGCCTGTAGCAATAAGGGAGAATGTTAGAAACATGACATCAAGCGAAAGAAGTCAACTACAAAAGAGTATGTACTCTACAGTTTCATTTAAATGGAGAATAACAAAGGTAAAGCTAATCTATGGTATTAGAAGTCAGGAAAGTGGTTAGAGAGGGTGTTATCAATGAGGGAGGGGACAAAGGAGCCTTCTTTGATGTTGATAATATTCTACTTCTTGATCTACCTCACTGGATAGCAACATTTTCCTATAAAGAACCAGAAAGTAAATATTTCCGGCTTTGCAGACCAGACACTCTCTGACACAACTAACCAAGTCTACTGCTGCAGTGCAAAAGCAGCCATAGTTAATATGTAAATACATGGGAGTTGCTATGTTCCAATAAAAAACTTTATTTACAAAAACAGACAGTGGATTGAATTTGACCTGCAGGCAATAGTTTGCCAACCTCTCATCTACATAGATTTGGTTACATTTGTGTGTAAATTTGCAAAAATTCATTGATCCCTACACTTATGTATACTTTTTCACTATAATACTTCAGTGAATACATTTTAAAGTATATAACAAAGTAGGGAAGTCATTAAGAAAATAGCAAAAACAAAGAACAGACATGAGCAGTTAGATTTCATCAGTGTGCTTGTGATGCTTCTGAGATTTGTTTTGTGCTGCAAAGGTACTTCAGTATTTGGAGTACTGCCAAATGCTAGCCACATAAAAGGTTCTTTTTAAGCACTCAATATAGCAACATTATTGTTCATTGTCTTCTTTATGGGAGAAGAATCCATTAAGGGATCTCAAAGTGGTTAGTTCTCTTAATGAATTCTCTTTATTTTTATTTTTAATGTCCAAATTGATTTCTTCTCCAGGTTATATCATTCTGCCATTCTATAGTTGAAACTCTAAAGACATAAGTAGATACTTAGAACATAAGCAATTTCAGAAACATTAAACATCAATTCTACTACTCCTTTAAATTTCAAATTTACCCAGAAAGAACTGCTGCCTTTAGAAGAAATGGATCTTGCCCAGCCCTTCCCTCATTTCCACTCCTATGTTAGAGCTTCAAATTAAAGGAAATATATACATGTTCAACTTAATAATGAAGGAGAATATATAACATACTTAATTTATTTTATTTGCCTTTCCCTCCAGAAGACAAAAAGAATAAGAGAATAATAATGATATAAGTAACATGTACCAAGTACATACTGAGCCAGGCATTGCTCTAAGTCATGTTCACACATTAACTTATTTAGTCCACACAAAGACTCTATGAAATATTTCCTTTTATTATTATTCCCACTTTAGAGATGAGGAAACTGAGACAAAGAGAGATTAAATAATTGCCCAAGGTTTCGAAGTTAATAAATGATAGGGCTGGGATTCAAACCCAGATAACTTATTTCCAAAGCCCATGGTCTTAGATATGCGTTAAGAGAAATAGCTATGGTTTGGTTCTAGAGAAATTTGGTTCCTTAAATGTAAGTATAGCATAGTGTAAGCAGGACATGGCTTCCTCTCTGTTTGGCTTAGGAATCCCTATGCACTGATGGGCTTGATGATAATGGGTATATGTTTAGTTGAATATATCTGGAGATCTAAAATTTACAATTAATAAGATAAAGTAGAATATTCCATACTCATTTCTAAGTATTCATCGAAGAGTCCATAGGCATTCATCGGCTGAAGGTTGTAGTCCTTTTCCCATTGTGGGAAGCTTATTTTCCTTTCAGGTCCATGTTCTTGTCGTACTTTTCTTCTAGTCCACCAATTCTGAATTAACCTAGGCAAAAAGATCAATTTCTTACAAAAAAAAGTAATTAAATACTGCATGCACATTCTTCACATTCTTACTTATAAGTGGAAGCTAACCACTGGGTACATGTGGACATTAAGATGAGAACAACAGACACTGGGGACTACTAGAACTTATTTTAATCACTCATGAAACTGTCTCATGTTGGGCATTGCCTATGAGGGTTGAATAGAGGACTGAGAACATCTATAAATGGATACCCCAATACAAAGGCAACGCCAAGATATCTTGAGGAATAGCTGGCTTAAGTGGCTTAATTTAGGATCCTTGAGCAGTCTTGCCACATGAGTGCTGAGCTGCATACTCTGATGTCAGGGGCCTAAAGATCTGCAAACCCATAAAATGTTTCCTCTCTTGGTACATGGATGCCTGCATGAATGGACTTGTTCACTTTTGGCTTGAGGTCTCCACAGGGGCTCTGACTCCTAGTAAAATGCATCTGGTATTGGTGAGGTTAGCATGTGAACCCATCGCAGTGTTCAGGAGTGCAGTTTGTAATATGAGAAAGCATTGAGAAAAATGGGAGTGTGGAGGCAGGTTTGTGTTCCATGCAGGACAAGGAAAAAGTTGAAGGATATCTAGGAGTAGAAGTTCCAAAAAATAAAACACATGGGAAATGAAGCAAATAAAGGGATGAATATCAAAGACAAACTGCCTACTTCACAGTTTTGCTCTATGTCCACATTACTAGAAGATAAAATATAATTCCCTTGATGTCTGTGACATTTTAATTGTGATTTAAATCTTAAAGGAGAATATAAGGCTGATAATTTTTGTTTTATGTTTTATTTTTAAAAAGTTTTATGGGAAACATCAAATACTTGGAATAAGATTTCTAAAAATAAATCTAAGAATAGAAAATTACTGGCTTTGGTTCTGACAGAGAGCTAAGAAAAGACTTTCTGAAGTGAACCAAGTTCCCACTAATTGTTTTGGCTGAGTGGTCCTCCCTGAAACCTTGAGTTTTCTATATCTCTACAGAGACATTGAGCCGACATGAACCAATAGGTGTGGAATTAAAGCAGAAATATAAGCATTGTTGATTTATGTCCCCATTAAAACTTAACTGACCAGAACTGAGCAAACACAGCAGAATTCAAGGTTATCCTTAAGAAGTTGATGCAAGTTTTTGCTCATTGTCATTGATATTTTATCACTAGGTTCACCACAGGGATAGGAGAGTGGAGAAGTTGTTAAGGTGTCATACATAGCTAAGGACTTGCAATGCTGGAGCCCAAAAAGTCGGAGGTATCAATTAAAGCAGCTCACAAGCAAGTATTCAATATTTAGGGGCCAATAGAGGCTCCTTAAAGAATATTCACTTTTGTTCATGCAAACCATGCTAAATCTCCCAGAAGAGCCAATGTTCATGATTTTCATGACTGCCTTTGGATGTCTAAATGTGAACACTTAGTTCCAGGTGCACACACTGGCTTAATCGCTGAGTCTGCATTGCTTATCTTACTTGCCACACCTAGAAAAGCCAATAGCAGCAATGTTGCCTCTCAATTATTGATACTAAGGTACTTACGGGTAGCCAAGTTCCATGAAATTATTCCAGGTCTGCTTTAGCACCATTATAATACCCATTTGCATACACAGATCAATAAGGCATCCACTAGGGTGGCACTGCAAGGTAAGCAAACACAGAAATTCCAGAATCAATGGAGAGGAAGAAAGGGTGTCTGGTTTCTAATCTACACAAAGTTGCCCTACGGCTGTTTAATGCAAGTCTGTTGGAAACAAGGAATGATGGGAGAATACAGACCTCTTCTAGTCTCCACCTGTTTATCAGCCTCAAGTAGGCACCTGGGTGTCCTGTGAATCTTCAACATACAGAGAAAAACAAGCCATTAGCACTCTAGGTCTAAGCTTTCAGTGAATATCACATTTAGTTTAACATATCCTCCAATGTGAGTGACTGCTACAACAAGCATCAGGTCTGGAAGAATTAGGAAACCCTCCAGATCTGTCATAACTACAGCTTCTGGGATTCTCCAGGGAATATTTCTCTCTGGCCTTTCTGTGGGGCTGCCTAACACAGAAGCCAGTTCTTGCTGCTTGCTGTGGACTTTTAACATTTTCTGCTGAATGTCAAGTGCTCTGGCCTGTGTAAGCAGAAGTTTTACTCTTGGATTTAAACACATTTGACCTTTCTGAGTCCTAGTCATGCTGTCAACAACGTTATTAAACTATTTGCCTAGAATTTTGTGCTGTTGGAAGAGCTAGAAGTGAAGGAGAGACTGCTTGTAGTGATCTCACCAATACCCTATGCCTGGCCCTGTCCGAGTTCCCATCTCCTCTGAAATGCCTCAGATGTAAGGGGATTCATGCAACACTAACACTAACAGGGAATCCTTCCCAATCCTCATAACTGCTGGATTTAAAAATTACCCAGCATCTGCTGGCATCCTGTTTCTGCCCACTTTCCTGTCAAGATGTCCTTTCCCCTTCAGTGAAGTCAGAAATCCAGGACATGCTGCAGCCCCCTCCCCATTTTGCCACCTGCTGTCATAGGTGTGAAAGCTAGGGGCCTGAGTCAGGTGCAGACAGAGGCCAGAAGTTTTCAATGCATCATTCACATGCACAAACTATTTTCCTCTGCTTATCTTAGCAGCAAAAGGTACAAAGGCAGTTTTGAGTGGAGATGATTTCCCTGGGATGCCAGGTGGTTTTGAGATTTGGGAAGGGAAGGCAGGAGGATGCTCTTCTCTTTTTACACTTTGCATAAATCACCCTAAGGAAGGGGCTTCTCTGTCCCCATGAGTCAGTGACCACTAAGTGTTCCGTTCTCAGCTTAGGGAAGTGTGCAGGGGGGTCAGGTTCTTACCTTCCAAGGAAGAATGCGATGTAAAATGTGGAGCTGTTCAGATTGACAAACTGAAAAAGAAACATTTTCAGGGTGAAGCTGTTCTCCCACTCAGACTCTGTGCGAGGCTGTTCTGTGGACAAAAGGTGAACAGAGTTTGAGAGGCTGAATCTCATCCCCTCTCAACTCCCTCTCTTCCCTTCCCAACACATGCAGGGTGGGAGCACAGGAGTCCTGAGGAGGCTGCAGGAGGCTCCAGTTTACCCACGGACGGTGTGTGATGGAACAGACCACCCATAGGATCCTCAAGCTTACAGGCCAGACCCAACAAGGGTCTCATGAGAAGTGGCTATGGACGAATCTGAGAGGATTGAATACCTAGACTGTTCCACTCTTATAGAATATCCAGAGAGCCAGCAGCAGAGACAGACAGGCTGTGGAGGCCTCAGTTCCGGTCCTGGCTGTTTTCAGTAGCCTTTTCTTTTCCTCTTAGTCTATGCAGGTTTAGTTCCTACCAGCTCCAAATAGCTCCTTGGTCTCAACTTCTAGTTCTCATATTATACCAGCCTACTGCTTAGGAGGGAGACAAATCCCTATCATAGAATGCTAAGAGCATGACTCCTTTGCCTTTACCCTCACCCACCATTTTCCATTCTCATGGACAAATACCAAGGAGGTGACGTCGTCTTTAGAGCTTTTACTGCATATCACCATCTGCCTTATAATGTCCTGACCTCAGTCAGGGACCAAGTCTCATCTCCATATATTTCAACCTCCATAAAGCAAATGGTCTCTGGACATAATGGCATGAACCAAAATGTAGATCCATTTGCCCTTAAGATCAAACCTCCAGCTAGAAATCTCATGTCAAATGCACTTATCCAATCACAGGAGCTGCATTCTAAGAGCTGGCAATGTCTAAAAAAAGGTATGTAATACAATAGCATTTTGTCTGTTTCCACATTCCCTGAGCTTCTAATTTCTCATTTAATGCTTCACTTAATCAATTCATTTTCCATGAATTATAACTCAAAATGCGTTCTGGGAGTATATCTGAGAAGGGAAGGGAGAATGAAAGAGAATCTGATTTAAAATGGTTTAAATGTCAGCTTTAGGACTTGTTGAGAGCCATAAAGACACAGGATCCCTAAAGGGTTTCACTTCCGCTACTGAACTCCTTGTTACATGGAAAGGTCTCCTGGGTTGCCAGCTAGGTTCCCAGGTATCCCCACCATGGATGGACCAGAACTGTATCTCCACTGGCATTTTTGCTAGCCTGGATCAAGGTACCACAGGGTACATTGTCTACCGATGTGCAGTTATCTATTCCATGGACATAAGCCTCTTTCTATCTTTTTGGGCAAGAACTGGTGGTGATGGAAGATTTCAATGACATTCAAAGAGATAAAGTAAAGTGCCTAGCTCTGTATCCAGCACATAGAAAGGTTCAATAAATGCTATCTATGATCATAACGATGATTAAAATTAAGAACACTTTTGTGAGGTTTTTTTTCTCCTCTGGAAGGCATTAAAGCGAGTTATGGGTGGGAGCATGTAATTTTCTCAAACTGCATAGAGCATAATGACCAATACTTTGTCAATAAAATCGGGACAATTTCTTTGTCTTGAAAATGTGATAAATGTACAAGTTATTGCTGGCTACCAGATTGTTCTGGAGTGCAGTGGCATGATCATGGCTCACTGTAGCCTCCACTTCCTGGGCTCAGGCAATCCTCCTGCCTCAGCCTCCGGAGTAGCTGGCACTACAGGTACATGCCACTATGCCTGGCTAATTTTTAAATGTTTTTGTAGGGACAGGGTCTTGTTATTTTATCCAGACTGGTCTTGAACTCCTGGGCTCAAGCAGTTCTCCTGACAAGGCTTCCCAAAGTGTTGGGATTACAGATGTAAGCCACCATGCCTGGCCTCCCAGTATTCAAAGAAACTAACTCTGGTGTCAGTTTATATACCATGAAAACTTGATACGTTTTTGATTAAACAAAAATGATAGGCAATAGCAAATGAACACTTTCTTAAGTTACGCTGGATACTTTATACAAATGTACTCTTGTGATGCTATTTTTTTTTGCAGGAAGAGAAAATCTACTTTAAATTACATTAGTTCATGACATCATGTTTGTGACAGATTTTAAAGCTTTATATAGAAAAATTACCACACATATTTAAATTATTCTGTTGAAGGCAAAGAAAAAAATTGTATGAATTTTAAAATAAAGGGAATATTTCTTTCCAGCAGTGTTAGAGAAAGGAATCTTTGAAACATACTTTCCAGACCACAGTACAGTGCTGTGAAATAAAAAGGATTCCACTTACCTAAATTCGTCAAAAGTAGCGCAACCTTTTCATAGAGCTGTAAAATAAATTTCATGTATTTAATAAACCAACTGCAGGTGTTATAAAATCTATAACCACAAAGGAAATAGGTAATCAAATCATGAGTAAAAATAATTTTATTAAGCATCCATTGCTCAACCAATGAAAACACTGTGTATAGAAATCTCAGACTCTTAGAGTCTGTTGGTAATGGAGATTCATGTAATTTTCAGGGCAAGAAAGAAATGTACAAGGTCCTATCTCTTTATAAAATATCACTTCTTATTTTGGGGTGAATAATTTTATGGCAACAAGGCTAGCTACTTATTCATTACCAGCTTTCTCGGCAATGCTGCACAGTCGTAATATTGCTGAGTCTCTGGATCCTGAATATAAAATCTCTAAGCCTGCTTCTGATGGTAAGATTCTGCAATCCTATTGTTTATGGACTGCTGTAAACTCTAGATTACAGCATTCATAAACACTGAAGTGATTAAACATTACTGGAAATTCCCAGAGCTTATGGTACTCCACTTTTCCGTTAGTGGACCAGATGCCTCCTTAACTCACCCATCCTTAACTCACCCAGCCATCTGGTCAATAGATGGCTCTGAGGGTGAGGTGTATGTATGCATGTGTGTGTGTGGGTGTGTTTGTGTGTGCGTGTGTGTATTGAAGAGCAGAGAGTATAGTCTAGGGTAAATCCAGCTCTAGGAGATTCCCCAGAGTGGGTATAATTGAAAGATCAAGTGCTGTTTCTAAAACAAAAGATGATAACTGAAAATGAAAGGGAAAAGTAGTTTAATAGACTGGAACAATAGGAAGATTAAGAGCACATTTAGATTAAAGTAGTGAAAATGAAAACACACTGGTTAAAATTGCCAGGCTGGAATTACAGCTTGACCATCCAGCAAGCTGCGGGACTTGGGGAAGTTCCTTATCTCTTCATCAGACCAGTGTTTTCTTTGTATGTGGGTGGGATGGATATTGAACTCACTGACCTTACTGTCCTTCTTAATTTTTGAATTCTCTTATCTGAGATTTCTGTTAATTACAGAAATAAACAACATACTCTGTATTACTTCAAACTTTCAGCAACGACTATGGTTTGCTACATTCGTTATATTAATACGGTGATAGAACCAAATCTTGTGTCTAGAAATCTCAGACTCTTGGAGTCCAATGACTATGGAGATTGGTGTCATTTTCAATAAGAAACCCTTGTGGTATAGATTAGTCATACCCATTTGATCATAAAAATAAAATCCTAGTAAACAACAGATCAGAACAAATGTTCTAATCCAATATATTTTAATATTACAATGTATTACAAAGGCACTATAACATTAAAATTATTTAATTATGTAATTATCAGGCAAAATTAGATTTGACTGGTGAGACAACCTTTCTCAAAAATACAATTCTTGATTAACTGGTTCATTTTATTTATTTATTTTTGAGACAAAGTTTTGCTCTTGTCACCCAGTCTGAAGTGCAATCACGCAATCTCGGCTCACTGCAACCTCCCGGGTTCAAGCTATTCTCCTGTCTCAGCTACTGGAGTAGCTGGGATTACAGGTGTGCGCCACCATGCCCAGCTAATTTTTGTATTTTTAGTAGAGACAGGGTTTCACCATGTTGGCCAGGCTGTTCTGGACCTCCTGACCTCAGGTAATCCACCCACCTCAGCCTCCCAAAGTGCTGGGATTACAGGTGTGAGTCACCTCGCCTGGCCTATCTTTTATATCTTTCACAATGACGTATACTTGTCACAGTACCTCACTTTGCACACTTGTCTAAAAGGCCCTCAGAGCTGAGGATATGTGTTTGTTACATGGGTATAAAATTCCATGAAAACATTGGAATTTTAAAAAAAGAAACAACATAGGAGTCAACAAACGATTAATATGAACCTTTTGAAAAATAAGGTAAAGCATACGGGGACACAGTAGGGATCCATGGCTTCTGTGACTACTCCTTGTACATGTTGAAGATATAAGGATATGGGCTGTGAGACTTTGGACAGGACACAGGAGGGAAGGGTACACACACAGAGGGACTCACGGCTGCTCAGGGCTCTCCACATGAGAGGTTTCTGGAAAATGTCTGATTTCTCATTAGGTGGTTGAGAGAGAAACCACAGAAAGTTTGTTCTGCTAAAAGCAGTGGGAAATCTGTTTCTAAACTAGATGATGCAAATTCTGATTGTGAATATCTGTAACCAGCAGAAAGCTTTCTGATCTTACAGATATGTCCAAAAGGAAGCTATGTGTACTTCTGCTTTTATCTTGTCAGTCTGATCAACGAATGTGGACTTGCTCTGAGGCAACCTATATTTTCTGGTTTACTATTTTTGGAAGATGAAATGTATTTTTCACTGTTTACAGTAAAATTAAATATATGATTCATATTGACATGGCTAGATAAAAAGGATGATAATATTCAGGACATAGGCATAGGCAAGGATTTCATGACTAAAACACCAAAAGCATTGGCAACAAAAGCCAAAACAGACAAATGGGACCTAATTAAATTCCAGAGCTTCTGCACGGCAAAGGAAACAATCATCAGAGTGAACCAGCAACCAACAGAATGTGAAAAAGTTTTTGCATTCTACCCATCTGACAAAGGGCTAATACCCAGAGTCCACAAAGAACTAAAACAGATTTACAAGAAAAGAACAAACAAATCCATCCAAAAGTGGGAGAAGGATATGAACAGACACTTTTCAAAAGAAGACATATATGAGGCCAACAAACATATGAAAAAATGCTCATCATCACTGATTATTAGAGAAATGCAAATCAAAAGCACATTGAGATACCACCTCACGCCAGTTAGAATGGCAATCATTAAAAACTCTGGAGACAGCAGATGCTGGAGAGGATGTGGAGAAATAGGAACACTTTTACACTGTTGGTGGGAGTGTAAACTAGTTCAACCATTGTGGAAGACAGTGTGGCACTTTCTCAGGGACCTAGAAATAGAAATTCCATTTGACCCAGCAATCCCATTACTGGGTATATATCCAAAGGATTATAAATCATTCTATTATAAAGACACATGCACATGCATGTTCATTGTGGCACTGTTTACAATAGCAAAGACCTGGAACTAACCCAAATGCCCATCGATGATAGACTGGACAAGGAAAATGTGGCACATATACACCATGGAATACTATGCAGCCATAAAAAACAATGAGTTCGTGTCCTTCACAGGGACATGGATGAATCTGGAAACCATCATTCTCAGCAAACTGACACAAGAACAGAAAATCAAACACTGCATGTTTTCACTCATAGGCAGGTGTTGAACAATGAGAACACATGGATACAGGGAGGGGAGCATCACACACTGGGGTCTGTTGTTGGGGGCCGAGGGAGGGACAACAGGGGAGTGGGGAGGTCAGGGAGAGATAATATGGGGAGAAATGCCAGATGTAGGTGATGGGGGGATGGAGGCAGCAAACCACATTGCCATATGTGTACTATGCAACAATCCTGCCTGATCTGCACGTGTACCCCAGTACCTAAAGAACAATTAAAAAAAAAAACAGCAAAATAGACAGGCTTGGGTCTTTTAAAGAAAGAAATAATTTTGGGGAAACGTAGTTATTGGAAGATATTTGTGTTAGAATCTCTACATGAATTGGTTACATACTCAGAGAAGTTATCAAATAATTTGGGAACATTTATTTTCACTCTGTGATAAAAATCCATGTTGGTATATACTCAGAATAAAAAAACCAACTACATTTAGAACTGTACGACAAATAAATTATAAACAGTTTATAGGTAGAAAAAAACGGATGTAATAACTTTTTAGTCTCTTCCTGGGATCTATCCTTTGTTGGCCTATTTAGCTTGCAACCACCATATTGGGACATTCTTTGGTCACTAGTGAAGCAGAACAGAATTGAGACAATATGATCAGGAACAAGAAATTCCATCCTATTCACTTCAATTCACTCTATCTTTGAAATATGTATTTTTCAGGACATGGAATAAAATATAAACTACTAAGTGCCCCTTAACCAGCGATTAAGAGGAATAATATTTCTTTAGGACCTAAGGACTTTTGTAAAATAATGTAAATTTTATTTTAAAAGTCCTACTATATAAAAGTAAACACATATCATCAAACCTGTCAGAAACTTGGCATCTGATAAAGAGCTCCTTCTTTAGTTAGCACTGGACAAATCTAGCAAACAGTCAGAAATGGGATAAGTGATTTATAAGAATTATATTATTTAAAAATCAGGGTCTTTAATATAATCTAGCTCTCAGGGTTTTTATATTTAGTTAATAAAAAGTATTAATAATTAATGTCTAAATACTGATTATGTTTGGAAGAAAAGTATGGTCAACATTTTAAGTAGTTGAAAACAACAGACAGCTATAGAAAATATACATTGGCTTGTAATCCCAGCACTTTGGGAGGCTGAGGTGGGCAGATCACGAGGTCAAGAGATTGAGACCATCCTGGCCAGCATAGTGACACCCCGTCTCTACTAAAATATAAGAATTAGCTAGGCGTGGTGGCGTGTGTCTGTAGTCCCAGCTACTCGGGAGGCTGAGGCAGGAGAACTGTTTGAACCCAGGAGGCGGAGGTTGCAGTGAGCTGAGATCATGCCACTGCACTCCAGCCTGGTGCCTGGCAACAGAGCAAGACTCTGTCTCAAAAAAAAAAAAAAAATCTACATCGGGTCATGATAATGTCTCACATTGAGTTATTTCAGAAACCACTTGAGAGTTTACTTCTGAATTGGTCAAAGCTATATTACAACCATTAGTCTTTCATCCTTTATGCTGATGTTTGCTTTAGAAGGACTTAAATTTTTTTTTAGATATTCTGATGAAACCGTTCCAACTATATTACACATTTGGTTGCCCTCATAATGGAACCTGGGAAGCTTCAGGGCACAGGACAGGAGTGTAAATGTGTGTGCAGGAATGAGATGTCATCAGGGATAGCTGAGGAGGGTAAGGTAACTGGCGCCTGCACAGAGAGGTCCTGGCTGATGCTGCTTTTAGAGTTCTTATGTACACTTTTTCTTTTCTTTCCTCCTCTTTGCTATGGCTTGTCATTCCCTGTTCTCATCAGTATTCTTGCCTTAGCAACCTTATGTTATTCTAGTTTGACGTTGGCTGGAAATCAGAGTACCAAAGATGTTCATGTTATATCTAAAATAAATGAAAAACCATGAGGGCATCCCTAAGAATAGTATGTGTTAGCTTTAGAGTGTGAACTCTACCTCATCCGTGTTGGCTAGTTTGAAACACTCTGGGAGATAAAGGTGTAAAACACCGAGCAGCCTAGCTCCCAGCATATAGCAGGTGCTTTGTAACATCAGAACTGTGTCCTTTGGCCACTCCCTATGCTCTCGTCTTCATTTTGAGTTTGTTTACTTCCTCTTTTCTTGGCTGTGTCTTGAAGTACAGATTGTTGGATCAATGATTTCCAGTTAAAATGAAGTGTTTTACTCTGACAACACTGGCACCTGCTCGAAACATATGGGCAAGTGTGTATTTACGGATTCACTTCCTGTACATAGGCATTTATTTCTTAAGAATACGTATAAATTAAATTTTAAGACACTGGAGGAAAGAGATGATAACAATACAGTAGGCATTAATTCACTGCATCAAAATGACATACAGATCGTTTCACCTATGGTTGTTTGATTAATTTCACTAGGAATCAGTCTCCACCAACAATGTATATTCACAATTAACACTGAGACTGAGTCGTGATGGAGAGTCAAAATGGGGAGATACAGGGAGTGCTAACCATCTACTTTCAACTTCCACGTGCTCAGCTGTCATACAAACATCACATCAAAATGATCAGCAGCTGCCCTTTTTTTTTTTACTTCTGAGTTTTGAAACTTTTTTTCCCTAAAAGAATAAAGATATTTTATATATTTTACTACTAATGAGCTACCTGCATTTAATTAGCTCGGTGATTACTAGTTCACTTAGGAATCATAAATTAAGTTCTTTGTTATTGGGTAAGTTGAATTCTCTCAGGAATCACTCAAGGTTTATAGGTTATGGAATTCAGAATTGCTTAAAGAACTAGAAATGACAAGCTAAATAGATAAAACTTTATGGATAATAGTATTAATTAGTTGGCCTTTGGAAAATCCTTTTCTAATGATGTAAGCATTTCAGCATTATGGCCCAGATTTAAAATTCCGTATAAATAGGGACAGGAGAACTATAAGTAACTGAACATCTACTCCAAGCCTAACTAGCGTGCTTGGCACTCTGTGTATATTATTTATGGTACAAACTTTTAAGGTCAGCTTTTTTTTCTTTTTTTTTGTTTTGAGACCGGTCCTTGCTCTGTTACCCAGGCTAGGGTTGAGTGGTGCAATCATGACTTACTGCAGCCATAAACTCTGAGGCTTAAGTGATCATCCCATCTCAGCCTCCCAAGTACCTAGGAATACAGGTGTGTCACCTGGCTCATTTTTTTTTTTTTAGACATAGGAGGCTGGGATTACAGGCATGAGCCACAGTGCCTCGCCATATTTTTATGTATAGGTTGACTTCAACAGCTGACTGTGTCAGGCACTACCTTTTGTTCTAAAAAAAAAAATAGCAACAACAATTTACAGAGCATCTACTATGTGCCAGGTTCTATTTCAGGCACTCAGGAATAACAACAGTGAAAAAAAAAAAACAAACAAAATAGGGAAAAGGTTCTACACTTATGGGCCTACATTCCAAAAGAAATGGCAGATAAACAAAATAAATAAGTAAAATATATAGCATATTAGGTGGTGATAAATGCTATGGAGAAAACGCAGGCAAGCAGATGGGAAATTGTCAGATAGCAGGAGTGGGCGGCAATGTAAAATAGAGTGACCAGGGAAGCATTTACTAGAGAAGTGACATTTGAACAAAGACTGGAAGGAGGGGAGGCAGTAAGCACCGCAGACCCTGTGGGAGTAAAAGGCTCCAGGCAGAGAGTGCAGCAAATAAAAAAGTCCTGGGATGAGCACACTGAAAGGACAAGTGTGGCTGGAGAAGGTGAATCATGGTGAGTAAGGGAAAAGGTGAGGTCAGAGATGTCACACAGGCCAGATGAGCAAGTGCCTGCGAGGCCACCGTGTAGGTGTGCAGTTTTACTCTGAGGGAGAGGACAGCCACGACACCGTGTGAACACAGGAGCCACGTGAATTGACTTACATGTAAGAAGCTCTCTCTGGCTTCCGTGTTGAGCCTAGATTGAAGGAAGCAATGTGGACGCTGGGAGACCAGCTAGGAAGCTGCTGTGATAATCTCCGTAAGAGACATTGCAGACTTGGGCCAGGGTGGGACCTCGGGACGCACAGAAAGTGATAAAATTCTGGATACATTTGGATAGCCAGAGAAATAGAGGAGTCTGGGAGAATGCCAAGACTTTTAGTTTGAGCAAGTAAGGAAGGCTGTGTGGAGGGAAGATGGGGAATTGGTTTGAAAGTGTTAGGTTGAGATGGTCATGTAGACAGTTTAACATATGAGTTTGAGGATTCAGGAAAGAAATCTGGGCTGAAATATGCTATCTAAAAATCCTGGAAGTCAACAAAAGCAGTATGTACCAGCTTGAGAGTTTCCTTCCAGGGTTATATCAAGGAATGCTTTGGGTTTTGTTTTTGTGTTTTTTTGAGAAAGGGTCTCCCTCTGTCACTCAGGCTGAGTGCATTGGCACTGTCACTTTCCTGAATCAAGCGATCAGGAAAGCCTTTACTTTCCTGAATCAAGTGATCTTCCTACCTCAGCACCCCCAAAGCAGCTGGGACTACAGGTGTGCACCACCATGACCAGCTAATTAATTTTTTTTTTTTTTTTTTTGTAGAGGCAAGGTCCGATTATGTTACCCAGGTTAGTCTTGAACTCCCGGGCTCAAGTGGTCCTCTGGCCTCAGCCTCCCAAAATGCTAGTATTGTAGGCATGACCCCTGTATCCAGCTAGGAATGCTTTGGATACTATCTTCCTATCACTGATAATCAAAAAGAAATGGGAACCAACATTGCAAAGCTGTGTCACAGGTTCTGAGTGCTCTAAATTTTTTCTCTAATTTACTTAAGGAGTATACGATATTATCTTGTTGGATAAATAAGGGAACTAATATTTAGAGAGGTTATGTGCTTTTTCCAATCTTACATGTAGAAAATCCTGGACTCTAGATTTGAATCAAGACTTTTAAGCCCCCAGAGCCAAGTGCATCTTCACTGCCAGGCACTTTGCTGCCAGGATATCAGTGCTATGTGAATGACCCATCTCTCTGAGGCCAGATCCCCTCAGCACAGAAGAAAACTATCACATGTAGCCCACACATTTTGATCCATTTGGCTAGCCACTGCAGCTCACTTACCACGTTCAGCAACATAATGATACAAAAGTTGATGCACACAGCCGTCCCTGTGGTTGCAACCTGAGAGTTATTCCTGATTAACGCCCACTTAAAGGCAGCGAAAGTGCTGACAGTCACCACTCGGTAAATGACAATCCCGAACACAGCAGCGATCACCACGCAGATCTGGCAGAAAGACAAGACACCCAGTGAACCCCTTGGTAAAATGTTACAGGAGGAAGATTCACATTCCTGGAACATCCTCTGATGGGAAAAAGAAGTAATGCCATGGCACTACTGCTCAAGAGACCTCAATCAAATGCATACTTTTAATTGTGGTTAGTACTTTCTCTTGTCTTTTTCTATTTTCTTTCTTATTAAAATAAAAGAACTACATTGCTTGAAAGTTGAGAATCTGCATAAGCTATGGGGTAACACTTTTTAATGCAGAATATACATCGAGCAGATGGACAAATACTCATATGGAAATCCTATCATATCACTCTTGTGTTTAACCTTGTTTACTGGTTTCTTATTATTATAGGATAAAAGGAAAACCCTTATGTGGCCTGCAAGACACTCTCTAGCCTTTTTGGTCTCCATTCCTCGTTCCTTCTGGAGCCCCCACAGCTTCTCTCATTACATCAAATGGGCTAAGCACCCTTGATCATCAAGATTATTTCCTTTGCCTATAATGCCTACCCACCCAATCTCTTGCCAAACACACATACATGTGTGAGCACACGCGTGCGCACACACACACACACACACACAGCCTAGTTAACACCTACTCATCTTTCTTCACTTCTCAGCTCAAACACCACTTCATAATAAAAGCTTTTCATGACTCCCAGACTATTTGTTGTTGGTGTTGTCATACAGTACCCATAACATATAGATACATCTTTTTTCACGACACTACTTATAATTTCTAACAATCTGACTATTCTGTCTCTCCTACTAGAAAGTAAGCTCCATGAGGACAGGGAAGGAGTCTGTTTGGCTCACATGGTTTCGACAACACCTTAGCATAATTACACATGCACAGTAAGTGCTCAGTTATTTGTATTTGAGTGAACCAACTATGTGATAGGTACATATCTTGTTAATCTGATAGTCACACAGACTGAAGCATCTTTCCCTGAAGATTTCAAGGCATTTGAGAACAATACAGCATATATTCTGTCTCTATGAAATACAGTTGTCCCTCAGTATCACCATGAGGGATTGGTCCAGAACCATCCCCCAATACCATTATACCAAAATCCATAGATGTTCAAGTCCCCTCTTTAGAACAGTATAGTGTTTGCATGTAACCTGTACACAACCTCTCATATACTTGAAATCATCTCTAGATTACTTATAATACCTGATACAATGTAAATGTTACATAAATAGTCATACAGTATTGTTTAGGAAATAATGACATGCAGCTGTACATGTTCAGTACAGTCACAACTGTCCTTTTATTTAAAAAATAATTTCCATCTATGGTTGGTTGAATTCATAGATGCAGAACCCACAAACACATAGGGCCAACTTTAATGCAAATCTGAGACTCCAAAACGTTTTGTGACTTTCATTAGATGACTCACCTAATATTAATATGTCCTAGAGACCTTAACCCACTTAATTATCAAAGGCTAGACCTTGAAGCCAGGCCTCAGGAAGGCCTCTGCTGATTTAGAGATTCCTTTCTTCACAAAAGCATTCCTCTGTTTTGCACAAAATTTATTTTCTGCTTACTTTTAAGGGAGATATGCTTTAAAGGCTCAAGTACAAGTCCTAGCTTAGACTGGTCAAAATAATAATAAAATAAACAAAAACCTGTCCAGATCTTAATGGTAGTGCTGTTGATCAGGAGACAGGTAAAAACTTTGCTGAAATCCAGACAAGGATGGCAATGAGGTAGGAAGGACAGCGGGCTGGATTCAAAATCAGAGGACAGATCAGAGCCCTAGCTCAGCTATCACCCAGCAGCCTGACCTTGGAAAAACTTGTCCTCTCCATAGCTCCAACCTTCTGTGTTCCAGGTTCCCCATCCATGTAACAGGAAAAGCTTAATCAATGACTATGGGTCTTTATAAGAAACAAGACAATAAATATGAATATGTACATAGAAGGCAAATCATGACACAATTGCTTACAAAGCAGTATCTGTAGACAGGCATGGATTTGAATCTCGGTCTGAGCCAAGGATTCTGGGTAAGCTGCCCAGCCTTCATCTCCCCAGTTTCTGCCCTAGTGAAAGAGAGCAGACTGTCTGGATTTGCTACAGTCTTATCCTTCCTACTCTAACAGTCTAGGCATATATTTATATACTGATCATTTGAGAAAAAGGAAAGGAGAATTTCAGAAAAATCTGCATATGTTTTGTTTGGTAATCACAGTGTTAATGCTAAGACTGCTTTTTAGGAAAAGCTAACAACTCAGGTCTGTTTTTCAAACTGACATGATCATTAGTGAGTCAGGAAATTAATTTTAGAAGATTAATCTGTCATTAAAAATAGACTATAATAAAACAAAATCAGAGCTTATTGCATGTTATAAAGGTGAGCATTGTTTTACTTAAATTGCATTATACATATATTTGCTTGGCATAGTCGGGGTTGTGACAGAGAATGTATTTCTGACTGTATGGGCATGGTAAAGAGTTTGAAAAACCCTGCTGTGCACTCTGTCTCACACTTTTGGCTCCTTTCAGCATCACATAGTACAATACGGCAAGAGGAAATAATGTCAGATTAGAGGGTCTCAGCTCTTAGCTACCTACTGGCTGACCTTGGGCAAGCCCCATAACCTTTTGGAGTCTCAGTTGTTCCATCTGTAATATGGGGATAGCAATACCATCTCTGACCACCAAACGGAGTTACTGTGAGGAATAAATAACATAAAGTGCAAAGATATTTTGTAGAACTCTGCAAATGCCCAATATGATTACTGTTATTGTGCTATAGGTTTGTACTTCATGAAAAATATTTTTCTAAAGTTTCAAACCATAAAGAATATTCCAGATGCAGAAACGATAAGTCTGCTGCATTTATCTGTAAATGCTTGATAAGGTTCTGGTTTTCCAGAAATGGGATTCATCCGTTCTTTCTTGGAATACTTGGCTTCAAACTGGGGTCGTATTTCTTCCTAAAGGACAAGCAGACACATTTTAATGAGCTAAAGATGTGCTCACAAAATAAGAAAAGAAATATCATGTTACCCCACCATAAAACAGAGTCCACAGCTGCCACACTAATTAGTCGACCAATGAGGTGGACTTGGGTGCCCAGGCTTAAATGTTTGAAAATTGGCCACTTGAAGAAAATCTAAGAATGAAGATCAAGATCTACTATTATCAAATGCAAAGAAATTTGGACTAATAGTTACATTTCTCTGTTATCTTATAAAACTATGCTTGAATTTAAAAAAAAAAAAAAAACCCTGAGACCAGTATTTTAAAAGGGACAAGCTGTCCTGTCCTAATGGTTTGGAACAACTAATAAGCTTTTACTTTTATTACCAGAGAGTGATAAGGGACACCAGGACAAAGAAGTCTTCTCTACAGGAAAATATTCAAAATCTATTTTGTAAGTTATAAAGACAATATAATTCTTAGTTTTCTCCTGCAATTATTTTTTGCATTTTTAGATTCAGTTCACTAAAAACATGGTGAATCTACTTTTTAATAAGCTCATATAGGAGTCATTCATCTTTAACCAATAGACTTTAAGTATATTTTTAATTCTTAATTGAAAACAAGGTAAGCACCTTTCAAAACCAGCTAAAAGCAAGGTTCCTCCAATTCTAAATCAAACTGAGATTTTATTTCATTTAGCTGAGCCTCATCTGAATGTGAAAAGCTTCTGACTAAAAAGCAATTATGGGATTAGGAAAAGGCAATCAGCAAAAGGGTACACTGATGTGGTTCCTGTTAATTAAGCATACATTATGTTTGAGAGTTTCGGGAGAAGATGGCAAATGAGCAGAAACTCTGCTGAAATGGAGATTGAGTTAATCCAGGCAGAAATGGTCAAGACTTGGATGAAGGTAATGACAGAAAGCAAGGAACGAGCCGACAGAAGAGAGGTCACGGGGAGTGAGCCCAGTTTGGTAGCAGCCTGCCCATGTAGCATGAAGGGTGGCCTTCACATGGCTCAGCCTGTCTCCTGCTACAAAATTAGCTCAAGCCTGGACTTCCCTCAGAAGGTCATGGGGAAGATCAGCAGGAGATACATTAGAAGCAGGCTCTGCCTTTCGTTTATTTTAGGCAGTTACACTTGAGGAGATAAATATAGCAGACCCAGAATCTTCTGCTTCTTTGGGAAACTTTCAATTTATTAAACTGTCATCAAGAGCCCTTGAGCTAGTCATCCAGAAACTAAGGCCAATCATGGAGACAGGTCTGTGTTCCTGGGTGTATCATTACATTTTCATACTGCTATGAAGAAATACCCAAGACTGGGTAAGTTATAAAGAAAAAGAGGGGTAATGGACTCACAGTTCCACATGGCTGGAAAGGCCTCACAGTCATGGTAGAAGGCAAAGAAGGAGCAAGGACACATCTTACATGGTGGCAGGCAAGACAGAGCATGTGCAGGGGATGTCCCCTTTATAAAACCATCAGATCTATGAGACTTACTCACTATCATGAGAACAGCACAGGAAAAACCCACTCCCATGATTCAATTACCTCCCACCAGGTCCATCCCCAACACATGTGGATTATGGGAGCTACAATTCAAGTTGAGATTTGGGTGGGGACACAGCCAAACCTTATCACTGGGTGTTATAGGCCAAATTGTGTCCTGGTTCCCCCAAATTCAACTGCTGAAGTCCTAACCCCCACTATCAAATGTGACCATATGTAGAAACAGATTTTTTATACAGATAATTAAGTTCAAATGAGGTCATTACAGTGGACCCTACTCTAATATGACTGGTGTCCTTATAAGAAGAGGAATTTTGGACACAGAGACACCTAGGGGGAAGACGATGTGAAGACACAGGGAGAAGATGGCCATCTATAAGACAAGAAGAGAGGCCTAGAACACATCTTTCCCTGATGGTTCTCAGAAAGAACCAACCCTGCTGACACCTTGTCTTGGACTTCTAGCCTCCAGAACTGTGGAGCATGTAGATTTCTATTATTGAAGCCACCCAGTCTGTGGTACTTTATTATTATTATTATTATTATTATTATTACTTTATTAGCACTGACAAACTAATGTGTGAGTTTGCCCCAGAAGGTCTGCAGCAAGTCTGGGTATTTCTGCACAATAAGGTGGAAACCACGGGCTAGAAGTGAGGCATTTCCACAAGGAATCCCAAGCTGGGAGTGGCTACATATGCAGGCTTCTGTACAAAGGTATGCAGAGTGGCAGTACAATTCAGCACTCTACGCTTTTTATCAGGGGCTGGGAAGACAGAAGGCTCCAGACTTATAAGGGATACATACTTTTTCCTGAAGGGTGTCCACATCATGGGCCCACCACAAATACCAACAGTCATTGTAGATTGATTTGGTCTAAGTTACTCAAATAGGGACAGAAGGGAAAATTTAGTCCCACTTCTTTTCATTAGAGATTTTTAAAGTCCAAAGGTGAAATAAATTGCCCAAGGTGACTACCAGGAAATAACATTTTCCATCCCACTGGAAATTGTTCCCATAAACACATGTAACCAGAAACAGTGGAATGGTGCACATAAAAGAAAGTTCTGAATACAGACTGGCTGCTACCAATAGATGCCATAGTCATCTGGGAAGCTTCTTCAAACCTAGGTGTATGTGTGTGTATCTAGGTTCTAGGTATACATATATACATACACACACACATACCTAGAACCTATGTAAAAGAAATATATATACACACACATGTGTGCGTATACATATATATATATATATATGCATACGCATATATCTTATATATACATATATTTGTTTATTTATTTATTTGAGGCAGAGTCTCACTCTGCCATTCAGGCTGAAGTGCAGTGGTGCAATCTCGGCTCACTGCAACCCCCACCTTCTGAGCTCAAGTGATTCTCGTGCCTCAGCCTCCCAAGTAGCTGGGATCACAGGTGCATGCCACCACACTCAGCTAATTTTTGTGTTTTTAGTAGCAATGAGGTTTCACCATGTTGGCCAGGCTGATCTCGAACGCCTGGCCTGAAGTGGTACCCCGCCCCCCACCTTGGCCTCCCAAAATGCTGGGATTACAGGCATGAGCCACCATGCCTGGCCTGGAGAATATTTATAAAAACATGAGAGAAAGCCTTATCAGGAGAAGAAGGATTGTTGAAAACCCCAGTATCATTTATCAAAACCTCCTGTTACATGTAAAAACCAAACCAAACCAAACCAAAAAACTACCCAAACATATTCATGGGATAAGGGGAACAGGCAGCCATTCAGGAGGCATAGTTTGAAGGAAATGAACAAAAAAACCCACCTCTCAGAATTACTTCCCCCCCGCCCCCAAGCCTACCACAAGGCTAAAAGTTCTCATTGTTCATATTTCTAAAAGATTCCTCTTGATATATAAAAATATATACATGTGTTCCCTCCAAGGAAAACACATGGTAATACCCATGATCACATTGTACATATATGAGTAGTCTATCTGATTTACTGGCACAGCAAGGCTCTGAGGAAATGAGACTCAGGAGGGGTAAGAGATAGTGAATGAGTAAGAGGAAAGGGGAGCTGAGGCCTGGACCAACTGTCAAGGGAAGCAGGGTCTAAGGGGAGAATGTGGTGACCACACCCAGTGCAAGTACTTGAGACTTCCGACAGGAATGGGGCAAGAATAGAGAATCAGAACCAGACAGGTCAGGAGAGGCACAATGGACTGGCCTAGCAGATGCTCAGGGAGAGTGATGGGACTGAGTCTGCCCCTCCTTGGCAGTTTTGTCTAGAGCCGGCCCTCCATTTAGCCATATCTCTCCAAGGTGGCCAATTCAAAGTGGATTCTCTTCAGCATCGAACACCTGATGTCATACTTCAGAGCCTGTGCACACCTGGGCACTGTCCTGGGCACTGGTCACAGACACATTGCCTTGGGATAATGCTCTTGAAGGGATTGCTTACAGATACCTGGAGATGTAAAATGAATGCTCTTTTTCTGCTGAAGTTAAAAAAAAAAGATTATTTTTAAGAAAATGAAGAAAAAAAAAAGACACCACCAATTCTTCTGGTGCTTCTACCTACAAGTGAAATTCTTAATCAAGGGATTTTATTCCACTAAGGAATCAAAAATTTAAAATAAAATTTGTCAGTCCCTTTTTATTCTGCTTGAAATTTTCTGAAAAGAAAATTGAAAATGCTTTATGAGCCCACCTGACTTCACAGAACAGAGAGTGATGATTCAAGGAGATCATGTGGTTCTGGGTGATTTGCTTTTTAAAAAATTCTGAGATAAATGATACGAACCTCCTCTTCTTCCCAGTCTATCAAATCCCAGTCATAAGCAATTACTGCTCGCCGTCTTTTCCAAAACTCCAGGAAAACTGTTGCTGGAACAAGCAGAGAAAGACAAAGACATTTTCGAATAAAAGTAAAACAAAGCTCTTAACTGTGTCACTGAATAACAAAGCCATTGCCAAAAATGGCAGTTGCTAGTGTAAGCAACCTTGAACAACAGAATTTCCAGCTAAACTTCATTTTATAAGGACTATTTTCTGAGAATTGCTAAGCTTGTGTCAGACATAATGAAAAATGAGAAATTTTACTTAGAATTAAATTAAGCTGATTTACAAGTTGAGGCAGAACAGACTTATTATAAAGACAAATTCTTACATTCTGGGATGTCAGGATTCATTCAAAAATATGTTACTGCCATATTTCTCATTGATACAGCTTTTATTTTAATTTTACTTTTTCTATTGCCTAAACATGGGTAAGCAAGCACTTATTTTTTAAACTGAGAGGCAGATAGGAGCAGAAAAGCCAAAATAAAACTTAGCAGTTCACAAGTATTTGGTAGTGATTTCCTAACCCTTCAAATCTTCCTCACAGCAAATACCTATGTAAAATATATTTTTCTGTTTTACTGGAAGGAGTCCTGTTCTCTTTTCTCTAAACCATCTCTTTGTTGCCACAGTAAGGGTAAAAGTGGGTAAGTCTATTAAGAACTTTCTCCAGTAAGTGTGAGGTGGCTGGCCTCCCCATGTAGAGAAATCTGGGAGTATCTTCATTCAGCCAAGGTAATTTTCTACTTAATTCAATGAAAGAATACTAACTTAAATGAATTATTAAGCACTATGCAATAAAAGAGAGAGAGAAAAAATAAGACACACTCCTGCTGAAGGCACAATGCAAGTGCAGGGGCACACTCACTCACACTTACACTCACACTCACTCTGAGAATGACTATAGGGATATAACAGACATACACTAGGAGAGAGAATGGGTGTTTCTTTCTCTTTTGGGCCTTGTTGTGCAGTTAAGCCTTACAGAAGGTAAAGATAAATTATATATTAGGAATCTACTTCATGAAGGAAAGTAAATATGCAAATGCCTATCTCAAAAAAATATAATTACTTTCTTCTTTTCTATTCTCCCTTGTTCTCACATTACCTCCTCCTTAGTAGTATTCAGACACTGGAGACATATTCTTAAAATAAGTAACTAGAAAGACAGTATAGAGTGATAGATAAGAATCCTCTGGCATGTGTCCTAGACAGTCCTAAATTTGAAATCCAGATCAGATACAAGCTGTGCTACTGTTGGCAAATCAATTAACTTCTCTAAGCCTTAGTTTCCTGATAAGCAAAAGAGGGAGGGTAGAACAGGTCCACAATCCCTTATCTGCAACCCAAAATTCAAAATGCTTTAAAAATTTTAAGTGTTTTCCCCCCAAGTTTGCCACAAACTCATCTGGTGGTAAGTCCTAACCTGGACTGATGTATGACTACATATAACCTCTATTTATTCCTCGTAGTGAGACTTTTCACGTATTAAAAGCGGCCATACTAATGTATTTGAGTATGGAGTCCTTCCCCAGGCCTCCTGGGACATTTAATAATATATAGCTTATTTAGTGCCTTTCTAAAATCTGAAAAATTCTGAGTAGTTACAGTTGTTAAGGAAGATACACCTAAAATAATAAAATAATAATTTATTCTGGAAGACAGAAATTAAAACAAATATATGTATTTATTTGTGTCAATACTGAGCAGCCATTTTCTACTGGAGTCCTTCCAGTGAGTCTTGCTGCCTCAGGGATCCCCAGGATCATTCCCAGGTTTGATTTACTAGGAAGATTCACAAGACACAGAATACAGTTGTACTGATGTCTAAGATTTATTACAAGGAAATGCTATAAAGCAAAATCTGCAAAGGGAAAAGCTGCATGGAGCAAAGTCTGGAGGAAACAGGCACAAGCTTCCAAGAGTCGTCTCCCAGTGAAGTCACACAGGATGTACTTAATCCCTCTACAACGAGCTGTGACAATACATATGAAATGCTGTTTGACTTGAAAGCTCGTTAGAAACTTAGTGCCCAGGGTTTTTATTGGGGGCGGGTCACATAGGCACCTGCTGCCTAGCACATACTAAAATTCCAGAGTCCCAGGAAGAAAACAAATTGTATTGTTTGCACATGTAGTTGATGCATCATGAGTTACTCTTAGCAGTCAGCGTAATGAAAGCTGTCTTTAAAGCCAAGTTTCCAGACACCAGCCAAGGGCCACACTTGCAAGCAAGCCTTTCTAAAGCAGGCCTGCTATGTTAACTCTCTCCTCACGCTTGCCCTCTGCCTCACCAAACTGTCTTTGCACAGAGTATTTCCTTTATCAGGTCCTCTAGTCCCTCAAGCAAATGCCACTTTATAAAGACTTTCCCTTCTTGGTCTCTAGAGTCTCCCTGTCCTTGAAGAGAAAATGGCCCAGTCCCTGAATATATGGCTATTTTCCATAAGATTCAGGAAGGTACCACCTGGGAACAGAGACACTTGATGGGGGACCATTCTGGGACAGTCTCAGGCCACAGGATCACATCTAGTCTGTTTTACTGGCAGCTGCTGCTCTCACTAAGCCCTATCAACCCTCTATGGTTCTCATCTAAGGGAACTGACTTCTAAGATGATCTGGTGGCCGTCACAATTATTTCATCACCCTTCTTGAGGATTCCTGCTGAATCCTGCCTGGAGGACACAGAGGCTCTAACCTTTAATTCCCTGTGTTCTGGAGACTGGGAAATCCAAGATCAAGGCACCAGCAGATTTGGTGTCTTGTGAGGGTCGCTCTCTGGTTCATAGATGTCACCTGCCAGCTGTTCCCTTTCATGGTGGGAGAGGTCGCTAGCTCTCTGGGGGTGTCTTTTATAAGTACAATAACCTAACCATGAGGGTTCTGCTCTCATGACCTAATCACCTCCCAGAGGCTCCCTAACTAATACCTTCACCTTAGAGAATAGAATTTCAACATATGAATTTGGGGGGACATAAATATTCACACTATAATCTTCCCTTCTTTGGTTAATAATCCTCTTCTTTCTTCCATTATAGTACTCAAAAGGATGAGAAGAAGAAATTACAAATGCCATTCTCTTGTCAGTGTTTTTGTGTGAAATGCCCATTCATTTGAGTAAGAAGAATCTGCTTCTATCTGTACTTATGAAATGTAATCAAACCAAGACACATTGTCTGTTTTCAAGGCAAAGTTATAATCCCTCATCATGCCATAGTTTAAACTCCCTCCTCTGAATACTTACAGCCTTGGGAGCCCCCAGCACTTTCAGTGTGCCTAGTTATACACTGTCTTATGTCATGAGCTCACACTTTCTTATCTCCTTCAAAGCTGGTTTATGCTATACATATTTTTGTTATATATGTATCTTTCTCTGATACTACCTAGCACTATGATAAGTTTGATTAAAAAGTGTATTTCTTTTATGGCTTTATTCTCAAAAGATGAAATTCCTAAGGGTTTTGTCAAGTTTTTTTTTTTTTTTCTTTTGGTACATGGAATTCTTTCCACAAGAATTTTTTCAGCTAAAACATCATCACACTTAACATTACTGCTGGCATTTTGAACTCCTTAGATTCCAATCTATCTTTTTATGTCACTAATGATTTCTCTAAATCCAGATCTAACCAGGTGTCCTGGGAATCAGTGGAGTCACATCACCTCTAGAATAAAATCTGTTACCAGCTCAGGCTACAAAGCTCATAATCTCAACTCTCTCTGCCCTGACTTGAATCCCAGACTCCAGGCTAAATCACTAACAGTTTCACACATGAGCTGTTTTATACTATCTCAGTTTTGCCCACACTATTTCCTTAGCTAGTAATGTTTTTCTCTATTTGGGTCCATCTGGTCAACTCCCGCCCTCATTTTCAGATTTAGCCCTGTGTGTTCTGTAACTACGCCGCTTGAATCATCCCTGTGCACCCAGGCTGAGCTGTGCACACAACTCTAGGTCAGCACTAATCACAGCATTCAGCGCTGTAAAAATAAAACCAATAAAAACCCAAACCTTGATCATATCTACTACTAGTTTGCAGACTTCCTGAGAACAGGCCTGTATCTTAGTTGTCTTTTTACCTTCAGAGTCTAGCACAGCAACTGGTACACAGAGGCTCAGTAAATACACAAATGAAATGCTGTCCTGGGAATGAAAGCAAATGTGGAAAATTACTCTTAATTTTCTAAATATTTTCATATGCTTATAAAAAATTAAGATATGAATTTGAAGAATATGCAGCTATATTTTTTGAATGCTTTACACACCATGGCATATTAAAAATTTAATAATAATGTCAAAGTTTGAAGCTTATTATGCTTCTCTTTTGTCTTGCAATAGAAGCGTGATTCTGTTCTAACTACCACATCCATTATTTGTACGGACCCTGTGGCAGAGACTACTAACTGTCCTCTAACATTCTTTCTTTCCTCCACCATAAAATGATTGTTGCTGAGAATGTGGCTGCTTATATACACTGCATTTCCCAGATACCCTTGCAGTTAGATGTGGCCAAAGGACAGTTCTCAGCAGTGGAACGTGAGGACAGGTGATATGATGTGTAGTACTTGCCTGCTGACTTCTTAAAACATCATGAGGTGCTTTTTCCATAACCACTTTCCCTTTCTGGATGGGTAGAACCCAGGTGACCCAGTGAGACCATGAAAGTGATGACAAGGTCTGGGGGTATGGCAAACAGCTCTTTTGTAGAAACATGAGTCCCTGAGTGACCATGTGGAGCAGAGTTATCTGCCAGCCTGGAATACTCACTTCATGCTTTTATATATGATAGAAATTAATTTCTGTGTTTTTTAAAGCCACTGAATTATGTTAGGCCTTTGTGCTACAGTGATCTAACCTTATCTTAATGAACACAGACACTTACCTTAATGGAGATGAAGTCACCTAGTCACTGAGACATTGCATTGAAGGCATGATGATGAAAGAACTTGTCTACCATTTTCCTCACAGATCTTAGAAAAGGGCACTCTCAAGCCACAGCATCTGACACTCTATTAATTGTATTTACAAGACAGAGTTTTGCAGGCTTTTTCCACTCCGTTTTCTACCGTCACCTTCACCATGTATCTACCTACCCACAAATTAAAATAAAAATAAAAAACCTATCCACAAATAAAGTTCACCTGAGGTGTTAACACCAATCCCAAATAGTAATCTTCTCACAATGTTAGTCGACATATTAGGAAAATCTGAGCATTCCACTCTCTAAGTAAAGGCAGGATTAGGGGTAGTGTTCAAGTAGGTTAGAGTTCAGATACTGGGACACTCTTGGGCTCAGAATCACAGAATGTTGAGAAGATTGTCTCATGAGGCCCAACATGGACACAAAAGGGATAGGACTGAATGTTCTTCAGGCTATCATTGTTCTATTATTTTTTTAAATAGAACAATTATTATCAGTTTCAAATAAATTTGTGGCAGGATGCTATGCATTTACCAAAATGATTTCTTATGCTCCTAGGCATTGTTAGATTATATTTTTTCAGCCTTTATTTCAGATGTGTCCACAAACCAAGTTTAGGCTAATGGAAAGTAAGTAGAAGTGATATAGGTCATTTTTGGACAAAGAGTTAAGAAGTAGGTTTATCTTCCCTATGTTCACTTTATACTTTGGCTGAATGAATAAAGAGAACGCTGAAGATCCAGAAGGGAATGCAGCCACAAGATGGAAGGAACTCATCCACCCATATGAATGATCATAAGGAAAATCACCTGCCAACCAGGAACATCTGATTGGGCTCTATCAAACACTAGGTTGTGATGTTTGTGTATCACAGCATCTAACTCTACTCATTCTAACTAATATAGGGTTTTCTTCTGGGAAAATATTCTGCAAACAGGGAGAAAAAAACACTGATTTACTACCATCATCATGTTACTAAGGCATTTAGACAGACATACAGTAAAAACTCCCTTTTCAGATGCATATTTTAGGTTCCAAGGAATAATAGGGTTAAAAGAAAGGGTTAAAATGCTGTACCTTTTCTTAATTTATTTTTTTAATATCTAATTTTTGTGTGTATATAGGTGTATATATGTATGGGGTACATGAGATGTTTTGCTACAGCATGAAATGCAGTATAATCATGTCATGGAAAATTGGGTATCCATCCCCTCAAGCAATTATCCTTTGTGTTACAAACAATCCAATTATATTACTTTAGTTATTTAAAAATGTACAATTAAATTATTGACTATAGTCCCCATGTTGTGCTATAAAGCACTGGGTCTCATTCATTCTTTCTGTTTCTTTTCATACTCATTAACCATCTCACCTCCCCTTTGCCCTTTCACCCCCACCCCACTGTCCTTCCCAGTCTCTGGTAACCATCTTTCTATTCACTATCCTTATGAGTTCAATTGTTTTCACTTTTGGATCTTGAAAATGAGTGAGGATAACATGTGAAGTTTCTCTCTCTGTGCCTGGTTTATGTCACTTAACATAATGACTTCTAGTTCCATCCATGTTGTTGTAAATGACAGGAGCTCATTCTTTTTTTTTTTTTTTTTTTTAAGGCTGACTAGTACTTCACTGTGTATAAGTACCACATTTTCTTTATTCATATATCTGTTGATGAACACTTAGGTTGCTTCCAAACCTTGGCTATTGTGAACAGTGCTGCAGCAAGCATAGGAGTACAGATAACTCTTCAATGTATGGATTTCCTTTGTTTTGAATATGTACCTGACAATGAGATTGCTGGATCATATGGTAGCTCCATTTTTAGTTTTTTGAGGAATCTCAAAACTTTTCTTCATAGTGGTTGTACTAATTTATATCCCCACCAACAGTGTGCAAGTGTTCCCTCTTTTCCACATCCTTGCTAGAATTTCTTGTTGCCGGACTTTTGGATAAAAGCCATTTTAACTGGGGAAAGATGATATCTCACTGTAGTTTTAAGTTGCATTCCTATGATGAGCAATGGTATTGAGCACATTTTCATATGCCTGTTTGCCACATGTATATCTTCTTTTGAGAAATGTCTGTTAAAATGTTTGCCTATTTTTAAATTGTAATATTAGGTCTTTTTCCTACAAAGTAGTTTGAGCTTCTTATATATTCTGGTTATTAATGCCTTGTCAGATGGATAGTTTACAAGTACTTTCTCCCATTATGGGGTTCTTTGGGTTGCCTCTTCACTTTGTTGTTTCCTTTGATTTGATTGTTTCCTTTGCTGTGCAGAAGGTTTTTAACTTGATGTGATCCCACTCGTACATTTTTGCTTTGGTTGACTGTTCTTATAGGGTATTACTCAAGAAATCTCTGCCCAGTTCCGTGTCTTGAAGAGTTCCCCAATGCTTTCTTTTAGTAGTTTCATAGTTTGATGTCTTATACTCAAGTCTTTAATCCATTTTGATTTGAGTTTTTTGTATATAAGGAAAGATAAGGGTCTAGTTTCATTATTCTGCATATGGATATCCAGCTTTCCCAGCACCATATATTGAAGAAACTTTTTCCCAATGTATATTCTTGGCACCTTTGTAAAAAAATGAATTCACTCTAAGTGTGTGGATTTGTTTTTGGGTTCTCTATTCTATCCCATTGGTCTATGTGTCTGGTTTTTATGCTATTACTTGGCTGTTTTGGTTACTACAGATGAACAGGATAATTTGAGGTCAGGTAATGTGATTCTTCTAGTTTTGTTGTTTTTGCTCAGGATCACTTTGGCTATTCTGGGTCTTTTGTGATTCTATATAAATTTTAGGATTATTTTTTCTATTTCAGTGATGAGGTAATAGGTATTTTTATAAGGATTGAGTTGAATCTGTAGATAGCTTTGAGTAATGTGGGCATCTTAACAATATTGATTCTTCCAATATATGAACATAGGCTATTTTTCCATTTTTTGGTGTCCTCTTCAATTTTTTTTTTTTAGCAGTACGATTATTTTATTATATACTTTATAAAAACAAATGCCCAAAGACATACATTGTCCCTCCAACCCCACAGCCACTAGGGAGGGAGCTCATATCTTTCCTAATGTAGATCTGGCCATCTTATAAAGTAGACCACATTATTTGTTTCCATATATACCCATAGACACTTCTCTCCCTCAAATATTTCTATCTCAACTAATAAAAGGAGGTCCAAAGAGTATATAAAGGTAAATGAGATTTTCTTGCTGTTGTTATAGTACAAACACCATATAACTACCAGGGGAGTAACAGGGGGCAAAACAAAAATACAAACCCCACCTTCAGTGAAGAATGGAAGGTCTGTTACCTGCCTCAAGTAGCTGAATCACCTGCTGTAACTGGCACCTCCCTGACATTCATGGGTTTGTAGGGACGTGTGCCCGGTGATTGCTTCTACTTGCTTCCAGAGGGCACATGTCTCCTACACCCTTTCTTAGTAACTAAAGACAAACTACAGGAGAACTCAGTGTTTAGATCCTGCCCAGAGGTATTACATGCACAAGGAAAAACTAGTTATGTCCAAGTAGCAAGCAATAATATTTTTAAACCATTGTTAAATGATAACATTTGTAGAAATCAAAATATTTATTCACATAATTTTAAACTAAAGTTGAAGCTAATAAATCTTCCATGGTAGTGATTTAACTGCAAGTGATGTTTGGCCTCCTTTCATATTCATTTCTTCTCTTCAGAGTGAAGGCATATCAGTTATGCTTGAACAAGTCAATACAGCTCTGCAAAAGGGAGACACTGTTCCTGGCATGTTTTATTTCCAGTTCAGACATTTCAATTAAATTCTTTCTAAATGCTGCCACTCTCTTCCATTTGAATTTATCAGTCCTTCTTTTGCAGATTCAGAAAGCTGTTCAAATTTCTGGCAGCAGCCAACTTGACATCTTTGCTCTTTAACCAGGTCTTACCCAGAGCTTTGTTTGAGTTCTCACAGTCAATGAGGGCTTTGGTGCATCTGTATAAGAGAGCGTTGGCAGCTTCAAGGTTGAGCATGTAGTATCAGAGGAGCTCTGTTAGCATTAAATCTTCATCTGATGAGACTTGACCCTCTACTTTCCTAAGTTTTTCAAATAGCTCAGCAACCTTCGATAGGTAGTTTTTGATGACTGCGGGCTTTCTTAAAGCCAGGTTATGTAAGCAGGCTGCAGTGTGGATATGGTCATCAGCAACATTTTTATGAGATCTGGTCATTTTGTCAGCTTCCACACAAGAATCTTTGATCCTATTATGATAGTTAATAAGGAAGTTGTTCTCTTGCTCACAGAAGTCATCTAATTCCTTAACTCCAGCAAAAAGGACTTCATCAGCACTTTTCACCACACTTTTGAATAAGCCACCAAATATCTCTTTAGCATTTTTCCTCCTAACACTTAGATTCTGATCATATTCCAGGAAAACACGAAAGCTGCGACCTTTACTGAGAACAGGGTGAGAAGAAAGCTGCAGAGAAAAGACTTCATGGGAGGACACAGTCTTTGGAAAAACAGGGAGATACTCAGCTTCCAGTTCTTGTTTCATCTTGGCAAATTCTTCTTTGGTCATAGAACCTCCACCTTCTCCCTGTTTCTGCATCTTCTTTCGAGGACCATGGAAGTTGGGCTTCATAGGCCCAGGTGGAATCTGCAGCAGAGGCAGGAACTCATGAGCCTCTTGTCCCAGCAGCGATGTTTTCTAGTTGGTGCCTCATTCTACTCTTGCTGTTCCACAGGAGACAACCACTTCACTCCTGTGGAGCTATTTAAAAGTCAACTCCTGTCTTTTCTTAACCTTCCTTGTTTCTTCTGGCCACTTAAAAGGAGGTGTCTTCCCGAGAGTTGCATATTTACTTTGACAGCAATCATTTGTTCAGTTTATCCACTACAGACAATCATTCAGAGCACAACAGTGTCTATACTGCTTCAGTGCTGGCCTAAAACTAGTACAATCTTGGCCTAAAATGAATGCTAAACACCAACCATTAGCCATCAAGATTATAAAGTCTCCAATATTCCAAAGGAATTTGTTTCCTAATCCCAAAGGATAATCAAGGACCCTAATTTTGAATGAACAGAATGTATCTAAATATAAGCTTCAGTACTAATTTTGTTCAATTATTAAGAAATCACCATTTGGACAGATTCTTCAGTCTGCCTGGCAGGACAAAAATGCATGGAAATTTCCTTTAAAATCAGTGAAGTCTCTGTTCCTGCAGCCAAGAATTAACAATCAAGGGCTGAAAACTGCCTCCTTGAGCACTTTTTTGTTTTTGGTAGACAGAGTCTCACTCTGTCACCCAGGCTGGAGTGAAGTGGCGTGACCTCGGCTCACTGCAACCTCCACCTCCCAGGTTCAAGCGATTTTCATGTCTCAGCCTCCCCAGTAGCTGAGACTACAAGTATGTACCACCATGCCCAGCTAATTTTGTATACTTTTAGTACAGACAGGGTGTTGCCTAGGCAGGTCTTGAAATCCTGAGCCCAGGTGATCTACCCACCTTGGCCTCCCAAAGCACTAGGATTATAGGCATGGCCTCCTTCAACACTTTTGAGAAATCTTATCACATACTATTACCAATACTAATGTTTCCTAGAAATCAATTCTACTGACATTGGAAAGAACATACTAGAGAAAAACTAAACCTAAAGGTAGATAAGACTAAAGTCATTACACTGTTTACACCCCTTTAAAATGTGAATAATGTAAGCCTGTATGCATCACCTCAAAGCTGTAACACTATTCCTTCACATATTTTCCAACTGATCTACAGTTAGCACATACTCTAGTAGGTAGATGAAATCAAACTTTTTACAATCCATTATAAAAAGTGGATATAAGTCTTTTTAAACTAAATGAATAACAAGGCAGAAAGAACTAGCTTATTAGATTTTTTAAACACTCACAATAAGTCTAGCATAGTCTGTTCAATAAGAGTGTCATGTAGCCACACAAAGTCTTCATGTTGCCTTCTAACAGAAAACTCTGGACTCTGAAATGTGGGTAGTGTGGTCTTTGTGTGCACTGTAAATTTGACCTTATCTCTCTCACTGAGAACATTAGGTATGTTAATCTGAAGTAAGGGATCAACATTCAGGTGCAGAGGTACAGATCTCAGCTTGCTGCAGTCCTCCTCCTGCTGCTGCACTGGCTTGGGAACCACAGCCATGGCAATGTGTGACTGGAGCAGGGGCTGCCTGGCCTTGCTCTGCTCCACAAGGAGGCCTCTGACCACACAGCCACATCAGGGATGTGAAGCCAGACACTCTCCCATCAAGAGAGAAAGCCTCTTCAATTTCTTTCATCAGTGTTTTATAGGTTTCATTGCGGAGGTCTTTCCCTTCTTTCGTTAATTCCTAGTGATTTAATTTTATTTTTAGCTATTGTAAATGGGATTACTTTCTTGATTTCTTTTTCAGATTATTCATTGTTGGCATATAGAAATGCTACTGATTTTTGCATGTTGACTTTGTATATTGCAACTTTACGGAATTCATCAGCTCTAATAGATTTTTGGTGGAGTCTTTAGGTTTTTCCGGATAAAAAATCATAACATCTGTAAACAAGGATAATTTGATGTCTTCTTTTCCAGTTTGGGTGTCATTTATTTCTTTCTCATATCTGATTGCTCGAGCTAGGACTTCGAGTACTATGTTGAATAACAGTGGTGAAAGCGAACATCCTTGTTATGTTCCAGAGTTTAGAGGAAATGTTTTCACTTTTCCCCACTCAGTATGACACTGTTGGTCTGTCATATATGGCTTTTATTATGTTGAAGTATGCCTCTTCTATACCCAGTTTTTGGAGGATTTTTATCATAAAGAAATGTTAAACTTTATCATCAACTGAAATGTTCATGTGGCTTTTGTCATCAACTGAAATGATCATGTGGCTTTTGTCCTTCATTATGTTGATATGATGTATCACACTGATTGATTTACATATGTTGAACCACTCTTGCATCCCTGGGATAAATCCCAAGAAATATAGGACTATGTGAAAAGACCAAATCTACGTTCAATTGGCATATCTGAAAGTTATGGGGAGAATAAGACTAAGTTGGAAAACACTCCTCAGGATATTATCTGGAAGAACTTCCCCAACCTAGCAAGGCAGGCAAACATTCAAATTCAGGAAATACAGAGAACACCACAAAGATACTCCTCGAGAAGAGCAACCCCAAGACACATAATCATCAGATTCACCAAGGTTGAAATGAAAAAAGAAGTGTTAAGCATAGCCAGAAAGAAAGGTCAGGTTTCCCACAAAGGGAAGTCCATCAGGCTAACAGTGGATCTCTAAGCAGAAACCCTACAAGCCAGAAGAGAGTGGGGGCCAATATTCAATGTTCTTAAAGAATTTTAAATCCAGAATTTAATATCTAGCCAAACTAAGCTTCATAAGGGAAAAGAAATAAGATACTTTACAGACAAGCAAATGCTGAGAGATTTTTGTCACCACCAGACAAAATTACAAAAAGCTCCTGAAAGAAGCACTAAATATGGAAAGGAAAAACTGGTACCAGCCACTGCAAAAACATACAAAATTGTAAAGACCATGGACACTATGAAGAAACTGCATCAACCAATGGGCAAAATAACTAGGTAGCATCATAATGACAGTACCAAATTCATACATAACAGTATTAATCTTAAATATAAATGGGCTAAATGCCCCAATTAAAAGACACAGACTGGCAAACTGGATAAAGAGTCAACACCCATTGGTGTGCTGTATTCAGGAGACCCATCTCGTGTGCAAAGACACACATAGGCTCAAAATAAAGGGAGGGAGGAATATTTACCAAGCAAATGGAAAGGAAAAAAAAAAAAAAAGCAGGGTTTACAATCCCAGTCTCTGATAAAACAGACTTTAAATCAACAAAGATCAAAAAAACAACAACAACAACAAAAAAAAAACCAAAAAACAACAAAGGCATTACATAATGGTAAAGGTATCAATGCAACAAGAAGAGCTAACTATCCTAAATATATATGCACCCAATACAGGAGCACCCAGATTCATAAAGCAAGTTCTTAGAAACCTACAAAGAGACTTAGACTCTCACACAGTAATAGTGGGAGACTTTAACACCCCACTGTCAATATGAGACAGAAAATTAACAAACCTGCACATTCTGCACATGTATCCCAGAACTTAAAGTGTATGTATGTATGTATATATAATTTTGCCAAAAGCTTTTCCTGTGTTAACGAAGACAATCATATTTATTGTCTTTTGGCAAAATTCTGTATCCATTCATGATTGTTAAAACCCTAAATTCCTAATAATAGAAGGAAAATTCTTCAACTTGATAACAGAAAAATATCAAAACCCATAATTTCTATCATACATAAATATTTAGAAACAAAAGCTGATTCTTACAAAATTTATTTTTTAAATGAGACATACTTAATTCACTGTTACTAACAGGATCACACTAAATAATCACAATCTTGTCATTGTGATTAAAGAGCTCTGAGGATCTTGCTTTGTGTGTTTACTGGGGATAATTTAACTTTTGGCAATCCTAAAAGTAAAAAATGAAAACAAGGGGGAAAGAGAAAAAACAAAACCAAACCAGAAACAGAACAGAGGGAAATAATCTGCTTCCCTAACAGGTCTCTGACAACATCTAGTTCCCTAATGACTCATTTATTTTTGACCTGGGAGAGGAAATATTTAGTCCATAATCATTCTGCCCCTTGAACTTTTCTGAACAAAAATGAGCTTTCAAAAATGGGTCACACTGTAATTTAAGCCCAGACTCAGGCTCACAACATACGTTGGGGATCCCCAGGGAGCCCTGCAGTCACACAGATGTGACCTGAACAAAGGTAGTGGTGTTCTGTCAGGATTCCTAACCCAACACCAAGACTCTCCCAGTTGCTACAAACTGGTTCCAGATAGAGCCTTATTATTTTTTCCAGTGAACACACAAAGCAAAGTCAACAAAATGAACACGTCAACCCCAGCCCTTCAGAAGTCTTGTAAACCACTTACATCTGTTCTCATCAGCTTCATATCTAACAATTTCCTGAAAATAGAGTGCATTTGTTTTCTTTACTGCTGTAACCTGTCAATCATAAGAGATGATCCTGAGACCATTAAACTGAGCTCCATTAATACTGACACGATTTTATAGAACATCACTGTCTCAAAGCAGGATAAATGGGGCTCAGGACAAGCATAGCAGTCCTTTATTTTAAGGTTCAGGTCTCCAAAACAGAAGGAAATGGTAACAAACAATACCTGATTCTAGCAGTAGAGAAGAGGAACTCAGACTGCCCAGTTTAACTCTTGGCTTTGCCACTTTCTAGCTACTGCTGCAGTTTCCTTATCTGTCATAAGAGGATAAGAACAGCACCTTTTTATGTATTTTGACAGTCTCTAGGTACAAAAAGTTTTCTGGAGAGATTAAATGAGATGATATGTGGGCAATGCTTAGGACTGTGTTTAGTACATAGCAATCCCTCAAAAAATGAATGCTATTAATGTCTCTGTTAATATTGTTGGCTATTTTAGATTTCTGCAAAAGGCATATCTCTAGCTATACAGAAACACCTGGGGCAACTCATTCTTTTTCTCAAACTAGCATATTTATAGAAATAATATGGGATTTAGGCAATAAGTTGTTATCTAAGACCAAGCAACTTAGAGGGTGAATTATTCCAGGCATGTCTTGCCTGGAATGGCCCTAAAATGCTCCTTTGTGTCCAAAGTTTATTATAGAACATCCGTCAGAGTCTTACAAAGTATACTCCAAAGCACAAGGGCTGTTAAATCTTCAATCCACCCACTTTCAACCTCAGAAACTTCTCAACTCCATGCTCCAGGCAGCCAGCACCAATCAGCTATGGTTGGCAAGGGGATAAAAGAAAACCTATTTGTCATCCATAACATAAAACACAACTTGCAAAGAGGGCATGCCATCTCTTTTATAATGGAGGTAGTGGGAGAGAGTAATAACCTCTGCCTTACGAACAAATGTCATCCTACCAAAATTTACTTCTGTGTAGTCTCAGGAGGTAAACTGTGAGAAGAAGCCACTATTCAATTAAAGTATATCTGAAATTGGTGAAATACTGAAGTGGCTAAGAAAGTTTTGTGTTTTAATTCTTACAGAATGCCAACAGGATACCCTCTTTACATAGAAGCATTAACTCATTACACAGTAGATTAGCAGCCCAAGGCAGAGCTTCCAAATGACTATGCCAGGAACAATAATAACAACCCTTTCAACCCTTGGGGCTTCTGAGGCTAGGGTCTTTGGGACAGCCCTACCTGTGGCAATAAGGAAGCTCCTCTATGTATACCAGCATGCTGTGTAAATATTTTCATTTTTTATGTGTGCTGTGACCTGAAAAGGTTTGGGAACCACTGATTTAGGAAATGAATACATTTCCAAAGTCCCCTCATTTGTGGCCATGGCAAAGCTTAAACATTATATGGCTTATCCTAATCATGGTTTCTGATACTAATAAATTCTAGTAAAAGTAGATATGCATTCTTTATCTGAAAGCTCAGTCCTGTAACCAAAAGTCCTGTTAGGGTTAGTTTGTTTGCAAGGGACAGAGATGCATTAAGGGTGGCATGAACAGTGAAAGCTTTTCACAAGGTCCACCAAGGGAGGCAGGAATCCTATAGGAAAAAAGACATGGCCTATTCAGAGACAGGATATGGAAGCCCAAAGCTTGACAGAGATCTCAGCCACAGAGTCTGGGTCTTCATCCTGACACTCCACTAATAACATGACTTGGCGATCTCTCTTTGCTTCTCTTTGGGAATTGTCTTGCATTTTCTCCCAATTGGCTTTATCATCCTCTAATTGTTTTCACTAGTTCTTTGCTTCTACTTATTTCTAGGTTCTGGTTATCATAACTTCAGCCTCCTAATTCCTCCTATTCCTACTTCTACCCGATGGTCAATTTTAATCTTTCTTTTTTTCCCCTCCCTCCTGCTCTCTGTATCTTTCAGTGTCAGTACTTGCTCCTAACTCCCTATTTCCCTTTACATTTGCTACTTCGCATTCTAGAGAATGAGAATCTGGGTGGCCCTAATAAGTTCTTGTCTGGGCAGAACCTCAGGCCTTTTCCCAGGCCACTCACCAACCTGTGGTTTGACTGATCTTGGTTCAAATGCTTACTGGCTGAGAGGGGCTGGAGTCATAGGGTTCAAAACATGTCCCTTCAACAGGGCTGTGATGGGTGGGACAATTTTCCTTTGACAGTCTCTAGGTGCAAAAGACAGAATATATCAAGAACAAGCCTCCTCAAGTGAACAGAGTTTTATGTTTCCACTTATCAAAAAAAACCTCTTAAATATATTCACTGTATCATAAATAAATCCTTTTGGTAATTTCTTTCTCATTCTTCTCTTTTTTTCTTTCCTTCCATCCATCCATTTATCCATCCACCCATTCAAACATGCATCCACCCTTCCATCCATCCATTGACCCACCTATCCATCCAACAAAAACTTACTGATTCTATCCATCTCCAAAATAAAAAATTTATGAGGTTTCTGATGATCATAATGGTTCTCAAGGATGATAAGTCTACTAGACAAGATATATTATGTATGAAAATAATTTTAAGTGCCCTAAGAACAAAATGCTATGAAAGTTCAAAGGAGGAAGACATCTTTTGGCTGGAGCAGATGACATTTCAGTTGGGGCCTGAAAGATGGGGAACATTCCAATATTCTTAGCAGATATAATGAACAAGATGAGCCTAAGTCTAAAGTTAGTAGAGCTTGTTACATCAAAATTCAGATTTTGGCAATTGAAGTTATAAGAGAAAAGTATAATTGTTGTAAAAGATTCAAACCAGGCTAAAAATATATAGCATAAAGTTTGTCTCTCATCATTGTTCACCTACTCTTCCATGAATCATCCTTTCCAAAGGTAACTGCCATTAACTGTTTTCCATGAATTTGTGAGATGTTTTTCTACATCATTAAATTAAAGCTTTATAATTATTTGACTATTATATTAGTAAACCCATTTTACAAAGAGGTAGGTTAACTAACTTGCCAAAAATTACACAGCCTGGTGTGTAAAGAGAGTTGAGATTTCAATCAAGTCCTGTTGCTTCCAATATTGACTGTTTCCATCACACCTTGTGTGATGGGCTGTTAGCTTGAAATGGTATCAGAAAGCTCAATTCAGTCCTGTGAATAGGCCTTGATTTTAGGGGTAATTTTGTACTGGAAGAAAGCTAAAGGTGGGTACTCACACGTTAGCCACTTACAACAGAAAGCCCTATATATGCTGAGATGGGTTTTCAGTTCTCCCCTGACCTAAACTAAAGTTGTACCACAAGCTTTAGTTCTGTGTCCAACAGAAAGTGAATTTTACTATAATAACAGAGAACTAATGACATTGTTGAAGGTTTAAGTGAAATCGGACGTGTCTTTCCTCTAAAATATCATTTCAAATAAACCCAATAAATTCTTTACCAACTTTTTGCTAATAGAAAAGCCAACTCCATTTACCCAAGCTCCTTGCTTTCACATCCAGAGTGACTTCTAAAGGAACATATCATGAGGTATATAAGGAGAACTCAAATTTTATGGTTCTAGAACACTTACCCCAGACTGCCATGAAAACAGCAAAGAAGACAGTGGCTCCGTTGTCAAAAAGGTGGGTTACCTGCGAATAATAAGAATCAATGTTGAGCTAATTTCTCATATTTGGTATTCCAATTCAAATTTTTTCAAGTTTTATAAAAATAGCTGTGATGATGAGTTTTGCAGGTTTTTGCAGGGGGATGGGGTGGGGTGGCGGAGGGAATATTCCTTTTGGACCATAAATAAGAAAAAGCTTCCTCTAACTGTGAGGTAGTTCAGATATAGAGAAGAGAATGTGTTCTCTTTATGTGGGTATCATCTAGTTGAACATTTATCAGCAGTCCCAATAGTGCTACTAAGAATTCCCCTTTGTGTACTATAAAACTCTTATATACATATGTGTATGGATATAGTTATATTTAGGGCCAGGAAGGTGTTATGATTGCAGCTTTAAAGGTTTTCAACTTCCCAAGCACTGTTTTTAGTGCCTCATTTATTCACTTTGAAAACATGGCTATTTTGTTTACGTAGTTTTGAGCAAACATTTTCTGGGCTGCCCTCTGGATTTCAGCCTTATAAAAAAGAACAGAACCATTAACTAAATCCAACTCTACCCTTATTAAAGCCTTGGATAATCACTATATTTACCTTTTCCACATTAACACAAAGACGGATAGCAATACTTTATTGCTAGAATAATATATTCTATTGCAAACACCACAGCAGAAAGCAAAAATATCCATTCTTACTCCAAAACTGCCAAGCTCATTTCTGCCTCCAGTATAAATCATACTAATGTACATGACAAATTGAAATGATGACTAATAGGTTCATAAAGCATAACCTTTTTTGGGGTACTTTATAGCTACTTATAAAGTATACTTTATTGTCCCTTCGAGAATGCACCAAATATAAACAGGTTTTTCATGTTATATCAGAATATGAAGTATTTCAGATTATTCCAAAAGTTTCTCTTTCTTTGAATAGGGGAGAGATGGGCAGCACTCAAATACCTGCTATGAAACAAATGTCTGAAGCTTATCTATTTCATATGACAGAGGGAATGTTAAGCTGTAGATTCGGCCCTTGGGATCAAATCAAGCTTGAAGGTTCTAGTGGTATTTGACTGGTCTGTGCTCTCTATCAGAGTATTTTTCTTTTTCTCTCTTTCTCTTTCTTCCTTCCTTCCTTCCTTCCTTCTTTCCTTTCTTTTTTTTTTTTTTTTTTGACATGGAGTCTCTCTCTGTCACCCAGGCTGGAGTGCAATGGCATGATATCGGCTCACTGTGACCTCTGCCTCCTGGATTCAAGTGATTCTGCTGCCTCAGCCTCCCAAGTAGCTGGGATTACAGACACCCGCCATCATGCTAATTTTTGTATTTTTGTCGAGACAGGGTTTTACCATGTTGGCCAGGCTGGTCTCGAACTCCTGACCTCAGGTGATCTGCCCACCTCAGCTTCCCAAAGTGCTGGGATTACAGGTGTGAGCCACCGCACCCAGCCTCTATCAAAGTATTTACTGTGAGCTGCTAGAAGGTGTAGCTTGCACCATCAGTGTCCATTCTGGAATGGACTGCAGTTATCGCTGTTTTTGGCTACCCAGATCAACTTTCTTCCATTCTCCTTTCTCCAAGTAACTCCTGCTGGTCTCAAGGGACACATGACTCAAAATAGAACCAATCAGAGTACTGCCCTGGGGCTGATACACAAACATTTGGAAACAGGCAGCTTTCTGCTGCAGTTATGAATTTGACAATATATGAATGAGGAGGGGTAAGGTTATAGGGGCTTCTGGTTCCTAATGAGATGGTCAGTTAGCTTAAGCTGAAGGCATGCTCTGCCAAAATCAAACCTAGAGAAGCAGGATAGTAGATTAAAGGAACTAACAAAACACAAAAACAAAAAAAAAAAGGCCCTGAGCAACCCCAGGGGAGATGGGAGGTTATCTTGAACTGGTGTGTGTGTGATGGTGGTGGTGTGGGGGCAGAGGTAGGTGGTAGATCCAGAGCAGAATGAGAGCACAAGTTAGAGAAATACATAAGCTCTACTCTAGCCTCTCTCCCTCAAGTGGCCATTGGACAATTAGTTTCCCCTCCATCAAAAATCAGCTAAGCAGGCCACACCACAGGTGCTGGTGTTCCTGGAGCAGTGTCAGGGAATGCTCAAAGTCTTGCTTGGTTAGACATGGGTGAAAAGCAGGTGCTACCTGGATAGATGTCTCGGGTATTCAATCCACAGTCTACCTCCTCTTAAACCCCAGGGCTGGTGGATTACAATCAAGAGAAAGTGCTGCCACCTAATTCTGCTTTGTTCTTAGGCAGGTTTCAAAATGAAACTGACCAGAAAAGTCCTCTGATAGACTGGCAGCAAACAGTCGTGGCTGGGGCATGCTGTCCTCTCCGTAACTGAAGTAGGACTGACAGACATGGGCTTGGCTTTTGCCCTTACTCAAAGTGACTGATGCCTCCAGAGGACAAGTACCCACAGGCCAAAATAATGGAATATATGGGGAAGACAACAACCCCTTCCCTCTGAAGAAGATTCCCATAGACATACTGTCGCAGCAGACCAGGAGTTTAAAATAAGCACAAAAATACACTTAAGGAGACAAGGGGAAGAAGACATAAGCCTGGAGCCAAAGCAGCTTAGCTCTCTTTTCTGTTAAACAGGGAACTAGTCTACAGAATGATCAAGTGGGCAGGGACACCGGGGGCCCTGGAGAACCAGTTCTAGGCTGTGAGGCCCTCATGATCACACAGTGTGAGCTACCGCAGTATCGGTTCTGGCAAAATGTATCATTAAGTCACTTTCTGCCTAAGCTAGTTGGAGTCGGGTTTCTGATTCTTGCAAACAGAAGAGGCAAGGATACAGCATCCCTATCAGCAGAACAGCCTGCCTGGAAGGGATCCCAGCTCCAATCTGATCCAGTATTTCTGTGTATCCACAGTCCCATGAAATCACTCTGACATCTCTAATAACTATTCTAAAGGAAACCCCATATAACCCCAATTCTGTCGTTCTTAGGCTTTTTATCTTTCATTTTACTAGGTTTCTAGGTAAGGCCAATGTTAAATTCAGAATCTAAACATCTGGTGGCTCAGTAAGACGCAGTGGTAAAGAAGGCATGTTTTGCAGTGCAGTAAACCAAGTCCCAGCGACTTACTGCTGCATGATCATGCGTGAGTAATTTTTACGTCTTTGAGCCTCTGAATAAAATGGAAATAATGACACCTATCTTGAAGTTGCTGTAAGAATTAGAAATAATCAATGTAGATTACCTAGCTATTATTTTAGTTGTAACTATTATAATTATTCTTCTTCTAGGTCTTAAGTTAGGGAGAATAACTGCCAAAATAAGCCCCTATAAAATCTGAGTACTCATAAAATGTTCATGATGATTCCTTAAAAGAATTATTAAGAATCTTCTAAAAAACGAGAATTTTACTCAGGCATATATTTCTACATTAAAAAAAAAAGGGCTTCTGCTTTTGGGGTTCCCCAGAAGCAGAGTTTTAACACCTGAGCAATTCAGGCTTATATCTGACCTTTAAACAAAATTATATTACTGACAAAGCTCTTGATCCTCATCAAATCTCTACATCCTAAGGTCACTCTGTTAAATTTATCCTCACCCATTCAGTGTTTCCCAAAGATAGGGAGGGCATTTTGTGCTTTTTTTGTCCCTCGCAACATAAGAGCTCAAACCTTTCCAAAACCACAGCTCACTGCTGCAGTCTGGGCTCCTCCCACACTACTGGCCACCTGCAGTACTAAAGGCGTTATAGATAGGCGGGGTCCTGGGTTGCCTATCAAATGTTCTCTCATTTAAAATGAACAAAACTCTGCAATGCCAACAGAGTAATTAGATAGATCCAGGCTTCCTTGATTACAAAGGCTGAATAAAATCTGCCAATGCCATTTATACCTGAATCTGGGCAAGCCAAAAGGCAGTGACTCTTGGAAAAGTCTTCATGAACCCAAATTTCAGCTATTGTTTTGTGTTAGGGACACCATCACCTAAGTATTAACAAAAAACCCTAGGAATGTGAGGAACATGTCTAATATTTCAATAAAGTAAGGCATATCACGAGAAAGGGCTATGCAATAACATAAAAATGGTGGTGCCATGTATTTTTTTTTTTTCTCAAAGCACTTTCACATGTATTCTCTTCTGTTCTTGTGTCATTCTAATGGGGCAGGACAGAAAGGGCACATATTTCCTGCACTTTACAGACAAGAAAGCTCATTCTTGGAAAGCGGGCACATGTTCAAGGCTAAAGAGGTAAGTGACTGAGCTAGCCATGAATGGAGGTCATTTTGACAATAATGATGATGAAGAGGAGGCAAATAATGATAGCTGTCATTTACTGAGGTCTATTTACCAAGCACTATACTCAGTATACACCTTAACTCCAAGTGAAACAAGTCTTCATGGTCTCCATTTAGCAAATGAGAAAACTGAGACTCAAAGGAGTTACATATCTTGTTCCCAGACACAGAAATGGTAAAGAGCAGAGTCAAAACTTGGACCTAAATTTCTCTGACTCCAGCAACTATGCTCCTCACACTGGGCCATGCTGCACCTCCATGTAATGTTGTATAGAGCCATGACTTTCAAATACATGGGCATTTTTAAAAGATTTCTGAATTAGAATACTGAATGATGGAGATAAATCTATCCTACAACATCCACTTGAGAATCAAAGACTGGAAATGACAGAATATAGTTACCCACCATACCTCAGGAAGGTGTATGTTAAATTAAATCCATCTAAAATGCTACATTTTGAAATTACCTTGGCATATACACAGCTGTCTGACAGCCGCATGAATGGACAGTATTTATCACACACAGGACACATGATGATATCTGTAGCTTGGCAGACTTCTTTACTGGAAAAGAGAACAGAAAAGACTGCTTTTTGATGACGTGGAACTTTTTTTTCTAACTTCAACAGAATGTTCAACTAGTAAATAAGATCCAGTAGATTAAATTTATGCCCTTAGAAGCATCTTAGCTTTATCTGATATTAATGTAAACAAGTTCTTGCACATTTAAATAATTTGAAAACCTACTTATGAGGTTGTTCCTTAGCTTTACATATTAATAAGATAAACTCAGGAAAATACATAAAGCCAAACATTGATCGTTATATCCTAAATTATAGAAATGTCCTTCACTTTTCATATGTCTGAAGCAATTTCATACTGAATTATGGGAGTCAGAAGATATATAAAGATACCTGTCTTGATCTCTATGTGCATAAAACTAACATGGAAAATAAAATACAAATGACTAGAGATTCTAGCCCTATCCTGGGGGAAATTTTCATTTCATTAACACATTAACAACTTCACCAGAAAGCAAAATATTTTTGTAGATGGGAGGCTTACTCATTCACTTTTATTTTTGCAATCACATTTAAAAGGCACATTTACAATTTAAGATCATTGTCCAGCCTTGCAACAAGATCTCTGTGAGTACCTTGACCCATATTCTGGTGAGACAACCAAGATAATGATGGTTGACACTGAACCACTCTCAAGGTACTAGCAAGTTGGTGAGATGTCTTTCTGGCTCAAGTTTAAAGAGTTCTTGTAAAAACACAGAATTCATGAAACAGAATTGCTAGTTCCCTATTTTGTAGTATCAGCTGAGAAAAAAGGTGAAAAAGTTAAAAAAAGAACACTTATAGTCAATGAAAATCTAAGTGTCTCCACAGCCTGTGAATACCCCCAAAATGCAAACAGCCACCTCTAAGTACTAAACAAAGGCAGGCTCACCCAAGAGTTCCCCATACCTGACTTGGCAGTGATCCAGAGTGGTGACGCCATACAAAAAGACAAACAATCCAATGAAGGCAGCTGGGAAGAGCATGCCAGTGTACCAGCCCAACCAGGCAAAATACAACCCAATCTTCTCTCCAAAGTACCTCCTGTTAAAGACACAACAGCCTTGCAAATTACAGTGCAGGGTGTGAAGTTAAGCGTTATGCAACTTTGTGTAGTCATTTTACTTTGTAGTGACCTTATGGTTAAACTGCAAACAAGGTAAGCCAAGAGACTAGAACATCCAATCAAATCTAAATCTAGGATCTGGGCTTACATTTCTTCTACTACTCTGTATCAGAAATAGAATTAGCCCTTCCATAAAATAACATGGCTGTACACAAGCTTATTCTGAGAAGACAGAATAGATTGGAAGGGACCAGAGTGGGCAAAGGGACACCAACTAGGCACACAGCTGTCATAGTCCAGTTCACAAGTGAAGGCAGTGGAGATGCTGAGGTGAGGCCCGATTCGAGAGCTAGAGTGGAATAAAACCCATAGGATGGGAACTGTTTAAGAGATGACATTCCCTAGATGCTCCACAGCTTCAGTCTACTCAAGACTTGGTTGTGCTTTTCATTGCCCTTTATTTGCCCAACATAAATGCCACTGTTCTTCCAGGGCTTAGCTCCCCAGAGACTTCCACAGGGATGCCGCCCACATCCATTCCTTCCATTTTTCTGAATTACTGTAAAACTTACGGCCTCTGTCACACATTTCACCTAATTATGTATGGTCTTCTATTTCTTTTCTTGTTGTTTCAAGTATGCAGGGTCTGTGTTGCTAAGCAAAACTGAGTTTTTCAGAGCCAGAGACCATTTGGAGTCAGTTTGGCTTTGCCAATAGTACTTAGCACAGTACTAGAAACACAATAGACAGTTAATTAATACTCATTGACTAACCGCAACTGCAAAATCTTAATCAAAACACTGTCATGAATGGGAAATGTGTTGCCTACAGCAATTATCTATAATTTCTAATCAATGTAATCCTGTAACATGGCACTGAGGCTGGGAAGAGAATTTACTTTTGTTTTTTCCCCCCACTATTTGTCATACATTGAGTCTGATCAAAGGAAAATGATCTTATCTCAGAAAATATTTTTCATTCACCCAGATTGTCTGGATTATTTGCCAACACAAGGAATGGATCACAATTCATCAATGCCCTTGGAACACAGGGAGTAAACACTTGGTGATAAGAGCTGTGGTAGGAAGGATACCACCCAGTGGGGTGAAAGATAAAGTGAGCGTCTTGTTTTTCCTCCCCTCTGTGCTCATTTTTTTATGACTCCGATATCTAAGTGCAACGCATCTAGCTAGTCTAAGAAAGGAGACATGACTTTGTCTTTTTAATAAGGAATCCATGAAGTGTGGGTTGTTATTATCCAATCTTAATAACCAACCTCTAAATAAATAATGAGACATCAGAGAATAATGCTGCCAAGGCAAAAGGTTGGGCAGATGGTTTAAAAAACCATAAATTTCCACTTCACAGTTATCATAGGTTAAAAGCTGATATACTTTTTGACCTTCAGATTAAAACAGTCTTTAAAGGTTATTAGTTTTAAATGAAAACTAAGCCTGAAATTTATTGGAATGACAGTACTCCATATGCCCTATTTGCATAACTATAATAGATATTTTACTTTGTCAGTAATATATGTAAGCAGTGTGAACTTTGTACAAGATGATTTGTCAATAAGACTCACAAGGGTGACTTGCTCTTTATGAAGTCTTGTGACAGGTCTGGCTGATTTCACATGCCCATTTCTGGGCCCCTCTCTAAGACTCTTTTGGGGGAAACTCCATCCTCATCAGAGGGATGGTTGGTTTACTAAGAACAGCTGATGTCCTCAGATGAGTTTCCCTTTTGTGAAGAAGCCAGATATGAGTGAGAGCTGTATACTTCAGACTCTCTTTCCTTCATTGACAGCTTGTCCCAACTGACAGTCTGCCCTAATCATTCTGTGTAAACTTTATCTATGCAGCTGGTTAAAAACTCACCTTACAAGATCCAAAGGTTGGTATTTATACCACACGCCCCAGGAGGCCCAGCACTCATAGAGTAGATGTCGGTGGTTTTCTGCTCCATGGGTTCGAATGGAGTTTTTACTTCTATAACTTCCCTGGGATAAAAACACCACTGCCAGTGAGATAGTACTCACAAAAGTCACAAGGAAATGCTGATGGTAATACTAGTCACTTACAATAGGTGTAGTGATAGGAGTGATATGAGAAAAAAATGAATCCTCTCTATTAAAGGGCAGGCAGTTCCATGAGCTACTTTGGATGTTGTCTTGCTGCTGCTGATGTCTAGTAGAAAGCATGTGCTTGCTATAATCAGAAAGGTTTGAACTGAGGTCAGATTTGGTTCTGCTACTTTTTAGCAAGATATTGGACAAGCTCCCTAAATGCTCTGAGCCTTGGTTTCCTAATCCATAATGAAATCATATTTGTCCTATTTGGTTTCTTATGTGGTTTGAATAAATAGCGTCTGGCCCAGGGGCCATGCCCTAGACTTAGTTCTCTTCCCTACTACTACTACTACTACTACTACTTCTTCTTCTTCTTCTTCTTCTTCTCCTTCTTCTTCCTCTTCTTCTTCTTCTTTTGAGACTGGGTTTCACTCTGTCACCCAGGCTAGAGTGCAGTGGTACAATCTCAGCTCACTGCAACCTCCACCTCCCAGGCTCAAGCAATACTCCCACCTCAGCCTCCCAAGTAGCTGGGACTATAGGCATGTGCCACCATGTCTGGCTAACTTCTGTATTTTTTGTAGAGATGAGGTTTTGCCATATTGCCCAGGCTACTCTCAAATTCCTAGACTCAAGCGATCTGTCCCCCTCGGCCTCCCAAAGTGCTGGGATTACAGGTGTGAGTCACTGTGCCTGGCCGCTCTTCCCACTTTTTTCAAGGTAAAGTAGTTGGTATACAGCCATAGCTGTAACCTTGTCACAATGTTATTGACAAGAAAATCCTGCAATGTAAAAGCTGGCAGTCACTTCAGAATTCTTGTAATTAAAATTTAATTCAACCTCATCATTGAAGAAATGAGGAGACAAAGGGCCAGAGAGGTGCATGTTTTTCCAAGGTTAGTTTGTGGAAATGCGAGTTTCACAAAGAGAAAAGGTACTTTCTGGAGGCAAACTAATTATTCACATTAAGCTGAGAAGCCCTTTCTTATTTATTTGTTTATTTTTGGTAGAGATAATGTCTCACTATGTTGCTTAGGCTGGTCTCAAACTCCTGGACTCAAGCAATACTTCCATCTCAGCCTCCCGAAGTGCTGGGGTTACAGGCCTGAGTCACCGCACCTGATAAGAAGTCCTTTCTTAATGGAAAGAATACAGAGCTGGGAGTAAAGAAACTCAGGTGAGTCTCAGCTCAACCACCAACTCACTTGTGACTTAAGGAGGTTTCACCCTTCTCTAAACCTCTATCTAAATCTTTAATGTGAAACAAAAGCAGCAATATCTGACCCTCCTGCCTTCCTGCCTCTGAGGTTAAATAATATAATCAAGTTAAACTGAGAGTAAAAAGTCAGAAGAGCAATAATGCAATGATTGCTGCTGCTACTCCAAATTTGGAATTTCTCTTCTCACAGAATACAGGACTTTACTGAGATAGGAAAGTCATTGTGAAGGCCATGAGTCACTCTGTGGGGCTTTGTAGCTGCATCTCCTTAGACATCTCCATGCCCAGCCCCACGCTCCCCTGCACAGGCCTTCTGCCATTACCATCTCTCAGACACTGCCTGTACCATGAGCTGGGGCTGGGAGTAGGGAGAATGCAGTTCTCATAAAACCCTTTTCTGGGCAATGCCAACAAATAATCACACGATGAAGCTACATTGATGTTTTGGGGAGCAGTGTATGTCTTTAGAGTTCAGAGGCACTTGCGTGTGGCTCTAGCAAACCTCTGTGTCAAAATGTTTGCTTCTGTCTTAGTAAATGGAGCATTCCAAACATGTTTCCTGGCAGTCTGTAAACAGGGTCTCAGATGGCAGCTTCTGGTTTTCTTAATAAATAAGGTTCTGAAAATTCTACCTCACCTTTTGCATCCTCTTGGTGTTTAAAATCAAGAGAAGAACCACCGTCCTCCAAAAAAAAGTATGTTCTGGAAAGAGTTGCCATTTATGGAGAGTTGGAACTGTCTTACGAAGTCTATTGACAAACTATTACCATTGTTTCCAACAGAAGGCTGTACTGAAGATCAGCTAACAGTTGCTGCGCATTGGCTACTTTGTGAGGTCCCAGAGGACAGAGGCTATGACATGTATCTTTGTGTTCTCTGTGTCATGCAGTGACCACAGTAGGGGTGCAACACCGTCAAAATGACAATAAACTCTCAACAATCATGAAGGACTATGTTCCTGAAAACCCAGGTGTAGGGGAATTCTGGGTTAAATAATCCAAAACCTATTGTGGAAAATACAGCTGGGGTAATCACAGTTACACTTGCAAAAGTAATTTACATGATGGAGACTATGTAGGAAATAGAGTAACAGCATTTACACATCTTAGGTGAGCAATGATGAGTACAACATTATTAATTTTTATTTGTCACCCTTTGGTTACCAGCGACTTTGCAAAAACGCTTCCTCTCACTCTTTTAAAGAATAGCTATAAATTTATTTGTTGGAAAGACTGTGTACTTTAAGAACATTCTCGTAGATTTGATGCCTGATGCAAATTTTCAATGCCTTTTTAATTTTATGACTTAAAGTCTCTAAGCCATTCCTCTGAACTCATGCTGAGTGACTCTTAAGTATTCTTGCAATTACATAAAAAGATATACAGAAATAAATCTATGCTGAGGAAGAGACGTAACAATTGAAGTAGACCCTCCCTAATTACCCATTGAACAAATTAAATTCATTCTGAACAAATGTCGACAAATTCAATTATCAACTATCCCTAGAAACTGATTTTAATAACACAAAATTGAAAGGAAGATAAAGACTAAAGACAGCACAATACCTCATGCAGGGGAAATGCAGCTTCATAGGAGCCATTGGTAAGCAAACGATTCAAACCTGAAACAACAAATAAGTCCATTTGAATTAATACAGAGTCTGAATACTCACAATGTTCAAAACAAATGTAAGCATGGCGCTTTTTGGAGAAAACAATCTAGGCTATCCACCCTCTTAGGGGCATCAAGAGTTAGAAGAAAAGTTTTGTTGCCATGAAATTGGGATTGAGGGCCGGGAAATTCTTTTTTTTCTTCCAAAAAAATTTAAAATATTTAACTATCAAATAAAGATTTGAATATATTCAAGGTGTACAATGTGATGATTTACATTATGTAATGATTAACACAATCTCATTAACACATTCATCTCCACTCATGCTGTACATTAGATCCCCAGAACCCATTCATTTTATAAATGATACTTTGTACTCTTTGATCAACATCCCCCCATGTTCCCCATCCCAGGGTCTGGCAACCACTATTCTACTCTCGACTTTTAAGAGTTTGGCTTTTTAAGATTCTACATATAAATAAGATCATGCAGTATTTGCCTTTCTGAGTCTGGTTTATTTCACTTAGCATGATGCCCTTCAAGTTCATCCACAAGGCAAATGGCAGGATTTCCTTCTTTTTTATGGCTGAACAATATTCCATTGCATATATGTACCACAATTTCTTTATCCATTCTTCTATGAGGGCACACTTGGGTTGTTTTCATATTTTGGCTATTGTAAACAATGCTGCAATGAACATGGATGTGCAGATATCTCTTCAAGATACTTATTGATATGTAACCAGAAGTAGGATTGATTGCTGTATCATATGGTAGTTCTATTTTTAATTTTTAAAAGAGCCTCCATATTGTTTTTCACAACAGCTGAACCAATGTGTACTCCTAATAACAGTGCGCAAGTGTTCCATTTTCTCCACACACTTGCCAACACTTACCACTTTTTGATAAAAGCCATTCTGGCAGGTGTGAGATGATACTTCATTATGGTTTTGATTTGCATATCGCTGATTAGTGATATAAAGCACCTTTTCATATACCTGTTGGCCATGTGTGTGTTTTATAAGAAAAACATGTCTATTCAGGTTCTCTGTCCATTTTAAAAGTTTTTTCTTTCCAACTTTCATTTTAGATTCAGGGAGTACATGTGCAGGTTTGTTACGTGGGTAAATTGTGTGGTGCAGGGATTTGGTGTACAGATTATGTCACACAGGTAATGAGTATAGTACTGACAGGTAGTTTTCCAATCCTCATCCTCCTCTCACCCTCCACCCTCAAATAGGCACCAATGTCTATTATTTCCCTCTCTGTCCATGTGTACTCAATGTTTTGTTCCCACTTATAAGTGAGAACATGCAGTGTTTTGTTTGTCTATTCCTGCATTAATTCACTTAGGATAATGGCCTCCAGTTCCCTGGCTGCATAGTATTCCATGGTGTATATGTACAACATTTTCTTTATCCAATTTACCATTGATAGGCATCTAGATTGATTCCATGTCTTTTCTATTGTGAATACTGCTGCCATAAACTTATGTGTGCATGTATCTTTAAGGTAGAATAAGTTATGTTATTTTGGGTATATACCCAGTAATGAGGTTGCTGGGTCAAATAGTGGCTCTCTTTTAAGTTCTCTGAGAAATCTCCAAATTGCTTTCTATAGTGACTGAACTAATTTACATTCTCACCAACAGTATATAAGTCTTCCCTTTTCTCCATGACCTTGTCAGCATCTGTTATTTTTGGTTTGTTTTTGGGTTTTTGAGACAGGGTCTTGCTCTGTCACCCAGGGTAGAGTGTAGTGGTTTGATCATGGCTCACTGCAGTTTCAACCTTCCAGGCTCCAGTGATCCTTTTACCTCAGCCCCTTGAGTAGCTGGGATTACAGCTGTGCATCACCATGCCCAGTTGATTTTTAAAAATTCTTTTGTAGAGACAAAGTCTTACTATGTTGCCCAGGCTGGTCTTGAACCTCTGGGCTCAAGTATTCTTCCCAACTTGACCTCCCAAAGTGCCAGAATTACAGGCATGAGCCACCACGCTCAGCCTCTGTTATTTTCTTTTTAATAATAGCCATTCTGACTTGTGTGAGATGGTATCTCATTGTGGATTTGATTTGCATTTCTCTAATGATGAGTCGTGTTTAACATTTTTTCATATGCTTGTTGCCCATGTGTATGTCTTCTTTTGAGAAGTGTCCGTGATCATTGCCCAATTTTTAATGGGGTTATTTGGTTTTTGCTTGTTGATTTAAGTTCCTCATCGACTCTGGATATTAGACCTTGGTAGGATACATAGTTAGTGAACATTTTCTCCCATTCTGTAGGTTGTCTATTTACTCTGTTGGTAGTTTCTTTTGCTGTACAGAAGCACTTTAGTTTAATTAGGTCCCACTTGTCAGTTTTTGTTTTTGCTGCAATTTCTTTTGGAGTCTTTGCTGGGATAATTGGCTAGCCACATGAAGAAGATTGAAACTGGACCCCTTCCTTTCACCATATACAAAAATCAGCTCCAGATGGATTAACGACTTAAATGTAACCTAAATCTATAAAAACCTTAAAGGAAAATCTAAGAAATACAATTCTGGACATTGGCCCTGGGAAATATTTCATGACAAAAATTCCAAAAGCATCTGCCCATTTTTAATCAGGCTGACTTTTTTGTTTTTTGGGTTTTGTTTTTTTTTCCTACTAAGTTCCGTACATATTTTGAATATTAACCCCTTATCAGATACATGGTTTACAATATTTTCTCACATTTCATTGATTGCATTTTCCTTTTGTGGATTGTTTACTGTGTAGAAGCTTTTTGAAAATCATGCTTTTGGACAGAAAAACAATGAAACACATCTAGTCCAGTGCTTGGCATAGAGAACGGAATGTATTAAACACTGAGATTTTATACCAGGAGCTCTTCTATTCTCATCCAGAAGCTTCATACGAACAAACTTAATGCCTCTGCACTGGACTAGTGGTATGACTTTGGAAAAGTTCTCTTGTCCTCAGGCCTCAATTTCCTGATCCATAAAATGGGAAAGGAGAGGTAATAGATATGCAGATCTTTTAAAAAACAGCTTTATTGAGGTTTACCAAGCATGCAATAGACAGCATAAGTTGTTTAATCAGTTGTTTTGACATATGTATATACTCATGAGACCATCAGTACAACCAAGATACTAAACATATCCATAAAACTCCAAAGTTTTATCATGCCACATTGTAATCTGCCACTCTTCCCTGTGCTATCTCCAGGGCAAACACTGATGTACTCTCTGTCACTATCGATTAGTCTGAAATTTCCAGAGTTTTATATAAATTGAATCGTATAACATTTACTCTTTTTCATCACTCAACATAATTTGAGATCCATTCATGTTGTTGCAAATATCAGCTCATCTCTTTTTATTGCTGAGTGGTATTCCACCATATGTAACAATTTGTTTATCCTCCTGATGATAGACATTTGGGTTTGTTATAGTTTGGGGGTGTTAAATATAGTGGGTTCTAACATTTCTCTTCAAAGAATCATTATGTCAGTATGTTCAGTTCCCCTATTCTTTGTTCTCCATTTCAAATTTTAACTTCCTTGTTCTGTTCGTCCCCTTGCCCCTAGTTTCAGTAAGCAACCTACCTGCCAGTTCTAATCAGTAGTTCACATTTGTTCTTCTGGTTACCTGCTCCATCCTGACTCACCCCTAGTCACCTGCTTTAACCTGAGTCACCTTTAGTTACCTGTTCCGTAACCATCTTTCCCATCAAAACTGCTCACTCTGCCACTCTGGTTACTATCCCTATTCTCTTTAAAATAGCCAATCAGAATTAGCTTAGACTGTGTGGTCCAACCCTAGCCAATAGGGGAACGACACAGCAGTAGGGGCTACCTGTATCGGGGATAAGAGCCCTTCTCCCTGTTCAGGTGTGCTCTCTGCTCCATCCACAAGACATATCCTGCTACAGAAGCAAACATTGCCTTGCCGAGAAAATTTATGTTTCAGTGCTACTTATTTTTGCAGCACCAAAAAATTTGCTTCTAAGAGGGGCTGTTACAAATTAAGCTGTTATGAACATCCGTATACAAAACTTTACATGAATATATGCTTTAACTTTCATAGTAAATACTTAGAAGTGTTTTTGAAAAACTTCTGTTTTCTTAAGTGGTTGTGCAATTTTACATTTCTATCAGCAGTGTATGAGGGATCAAGATCCTCCACATGGTATGGTCAGTCTTTTTAATTTTAGCCATTCTCATGGGCATGTCATGATGTTTCATTGTGTTTAAGTCTCATTTTTAATGAATATTTTAAATCATCTTGTGTGCTATTTGTCATCTGTATATCTTCTCTTGTGAAATGTCTGTTCCAATCTTATGCTCAATAAGATTTTTTAACTCACTGAGTTTTGAGTGTTCTTTATATATTCTAGAGGCAAGAGGTAGATGTCCTTTACTAGCCATAGTTTTTGAAAGCTTTTTTTCTCCTAATGTGTGCCTTCTCTCTGCATTCTCATTTATTCATTTATTTATTTACTTAGTTTAAGTTTTGGGATACATGTGCAGAATGTGCAGGTTTGTTACATAGGTATATGTATGCCATGGTGGTTTGCTGCTCCTATTGACCTGTCCTCTAACTTCCCTCCCCTCACTGCCCAATCCCCAACAGGCCCTAGGGTGTGTTGTTCCCTCATTGTGTCCATATGTTCTCATTATTCAATTCCCACTTATGAGTGAGAACATGCAGTGTTTAGTTTTCTGTTCCTGTCTTAGTTTGCTTCTTCATGCATGTCCCTGTATAGGACACGATCTCATTCCTTTTTATGGCTGTGTGGTATTCCATAGTGTATATGTATCACATTTTCTTTATCCAGCCTATCATTGGTGGGTATGTGAGTTGGTTCCATGACTTTGCTATTGTGAATAGTGCTGCAATAAACATATGTGTGCATGTGTCTTTACAGTAGAATGATTTATATATTTTTAGGTATATACTCAATAATGCGATTGCTGGGTCAAATGGTATTTCTGGTTCTAGATCCTTGAAGAATCACCACACTGTCT